GACTTTATCTTTCTGAGTTTCAGTTTCTACAGTTGTGACATGGATATAAAACCAACATGGTTGGCTGGAATTAAAACAAAGAAGGAATATAATATGCAGTACGTAAATTGCCTGGCTTGTAGTAGGCACTCATTAAATGTTCATGGACATTTCCCTCTTTCCTGACTTTTCTGAAAATTAAATTTGACAGATAAATGGTATTTTTTTTCACTCTCAAAACTACTGTGGTGAGAAAAGAAAAGAAATAACTAAATGAAACTATAAATCTCCTTGATCTAAAATTTTAAAGTAGGTAAGTAAAGAAATAAAACCAATAAGAAATAGAAAGAATGAAGAAATGATAAAACCCATATGAAAGCTAATAGTAATCATTTCTAATTTCCTTTTGGCTGTGATGATGACATACTTCATACTTAATGAGGAGAGAAATTACTTAAACTTTGAAAAGTAAAATCAAAAGTGTTTTATAAAAACAAAAATTGCCCCATTTTCCATATGTCTTATGAGAAAACTATTTTCAAAATGAAAGTAAGGCCTTTTGGTCATTTATCTGAAAAGACCTGTTTAAGTGCCCACTATTTGCCAACTACCACACTAAATGGCAGAGGGTATACAAAAAAAAAAGGTGAATGTATACTTATTAAAGGCATAGTATATGCCCGGTGGTATATTAGTTTGCTAGGGCTGCCTACCACCAAATGGGTGTCTTCACAGCAATTTGTTTTTTCACAGTTCTGGTGGCTGGAAGTCTAAGGTGCCAGCAGGATTGGTTTCCTCTGAGGCCTCTCTTCTTGGCTTGCTACTGGTTTCTCTCTTGCTGTCTTCTCACATGGTTCTCCCTCTGCACATGCTCACCCCCCATGTCTCCCTGTGTGAGTCTACATTTTCTCTTCCAGTAGGACTGGATTAGGGCCTAGCCTCAAGGCCTCTTTTTAACTTAACAACTTTTTTAAGGGCCTGCCTCCAAGTATAGTCACATTCTGAGGTCCTGGGGTTATGGGCTTCCACAAAGGAATTCTGGGGAACATAATCCAGACAGTAAGAAACACCATCTCACTTAAACATTGTCCTGAGAAGCCAGGCTCTAAGAGAATAAATAAGACATCAAATGTCACATAGCCAGTAAGTGGTGGAAATAAATTTTAATCAAAATCTCATTATGAGAACATCAAAATCTATGCTCTGTTTGCTATTCACAGTTTCCAAAAAAATTACAAATCTAGTGGGGAAGACATAATGGGTTTTATTGATAAGGAACCACTAATTCACTGGACTTGTGCTATTACAGAATGAATTCAGGATTAATAAACATTTATAGAATATTTATTACATGTTAACCTGTGTTCTTTCACAAAAAAGTCAATTGACTCCCTTACATGGGGAATTGCTGACTGCCAAACAATTACAATCCCGGTACATCTTGGCCCAAAGCCTACAGATGATGCTAAACCAATAGCTTTCTAGAATAAGTATTTTATTTTATTTTATTATTTTTTTATTAAATGGTTAAAAATTACTTTATTATTGCATTGAATAATTTTTTCCTTTCTTTTAGTGATATAGCAATAGTGATTTTTTTTTTATTAAATGGTTAGAATAAGTATTTTAGATAAGGCTGTCTACTAGATCTATTTTCTTCTGCATTTGGGCGTAGGCTATACGTTGATACACATATGTGAAATCCTGGATCTGCTTTATAATATTCTACCTAATTGGCAATCTATACAATTTACAGTGGGCTTTCAGCTGGATAGCATCTCAGGGTGAAAGACAAAAGTCTCATGCTCTGTCTCTTGAGACTCCCAATTTTATGTCTAGGAATGTCTGTTAAGCTAGATTGTGGCACCTGCTCCATGCTCTGAATGATGCCGTATTATTATTTAAAGTACTATTTAGTTTGTGTTTATTCTCTAACTACATTTTATGGATCTATACTCTGTGTTAAATTATAATTACATAATCAATTAGTAAAATAATTTACATTCCCAGATTATGTTATAACGTTTCCACAGAAGACTACTCTAGGTATGCACATCAGGGGCCAAGGCATATGTCTAGAATTCTATCGATAATACATACCAACTCTGCCTATAACTGCTATCTCTTATCACAACTAAAGAATCAGAAATGAAAATTGTGAAATTTAAAAAATTATCCTGAGATATTAAAGGTATTACTGTGAAGTTGATAATTATTCATTGTGAGAGAAGTTTTGAGCTTCATAACAACTCAAAATTGAAAGCAGGAGTAAAATTCCTATGTGAAAGATGTCGTCCCTTTATCAGCAGGAAACAGACAAAAAATGGCAACTGTAGAAAAATAGCTAACATGTATGGGGAGACTAAAGGATGATAAGAATTATTTTAACAAGGTTCGTTTTACAGATTTCTTTCAACGTAGACTCACCTTCTCTGGTGATAAGAATGCAAACTTCATAAAGGCAGGTCGTCTTTTTTGTTTAACCCAGCACATAAACACTAGATACTCCTCTGGGTCCGTTATCCTGTGGGGGTTCTCACGCACATCTAAAATCTGACTTTTGTGTATATGCATATCACTTATTATAGGTACTCAAGGAGACTGAATTGTAGAAATCCATTACTTTTGTGTGTGTGGGGGGGTGTGTGCGCGCGCTCAAATAAACTTTAATTACACAAATAATTATTTTTGCCAAACCCTTAGAGGCATTCAGTTGCATCACCACCATAAAGATAGAATAAAATGGAGTCACAGGGTCAAACAGAGAAATACATGTTTCACATACATGCTCATCCCACCAGATTTTCCTCAACCTCTAATACTGCTTTAGGTTTAGTGTATTCTGCTGTCAAGGTTGCGGTGGGAGGGTGAGGGTTTGGAGCTAAGCAGGCCCAAAAATGTATTGTGTAAGACCTCAGGTCTCTCTCCTCCCTCTGGAAGTTCCAATGTAGCAGAAATGAAGCTAGAACTTCTCAAGAATAAAGTTTCCAGCACAAAGGCCCTTGGTATCCCCCAAGTGTCTCTTTCCCTTTGGTAGTGGTTGTAACTGGCCGGGTGTGTACCAGGGATTGACCAGGTGTCAGAGGGAAGCAGATTAAGGCAGGTGAGGATAGCTGCAGTTGTGTGGGCTGAGAGTCCAGCTGTGAGGAATGAGGAAGGAGGGCTCTGTTCTCACTCTGACAGCCAGTAAAGCATTTTCTGAGGGAGCAGAGCCCAGGATCTGTATGAGCTTTAGGGAAAAGGCCAAGTCACTGAACCACTCCGCCAGCCAGATGCGGAAAAGATTTACTGTGGAGAGACTCACTAGAACACCAAGAACAAACAGCAGTTACACATGGGCAAAAGGAGAGGAACGTATCATAGTGATGATAAATCCAAACAAAGCTGAAAGGAAAAACCCCAGGACTGAATACAGTCTGAGAAAGACCTGGGCACAGGAAGACAGAGGACCCAAGGAAGCAAGTCAAGGAAAATCCATTCATGGTAGCCTAGCTTTCACAGGTAGGGGAGAGAAATGACCAAGATACTGCACAGAGGACCTGAGTTGTGGGAGCTAGAGGATGCTTGAGGCAAAGTTAAAAGGTTCCAGGCACTTTCAGAAGGAGGCTGGCCAAGAGTGTTACTGGGAAATCCAGTGATGGACACACTAGAGGCCCTTGGGCACCTCAAGCCCTGAATGGGTCAGCAATTCTCCATCCCAAAGGGCAAAGGCAGGTCCACTGGACCCTGGAATTCTGTCTGTAGCATGTGGACCACAACCCAGCTCACACCCACCAAGCTCAGCTTCTGGGCCTCACACTCCAGCAGCAGTCCCACCTTCTCTGGATGCCTGATGCCCTCAATAGGGGCTTTCTCATTGGCCAACATGGTTTGCCACTTGCACTGGGCATAGGTTTAACACCCAAGAACGGCCAGTAGCACCGATGCAGCTATCCCAAGAAATGTCCACGTCTGTCACCCCTACCCGGAATCGCTGGGAGCGCTTCACTGTTACCTTCCAATAGTGCCTGCCACCGGTGACCGCTGCGTCTGCCAACACCACTGCCCACTCCCGGAAACGCTCCACATTCAGGGCCAATTGGGTGGGCTCCAATCCCATCATGCCCTATTTGACACCTGTGTCATCTCTGAAGAATGCAGGCTGCTGTGGGCAGTCTTCTCTTTCAGTTTGAAATGGACGCCTCTGTGGGCTTCTGCGACATTAACCCCCAATCGTTTGGCTCCCAGAGGCACGGGCAAGGCGAACGTGCAAAGGGTATTTTTTTGTTTTTTAGGTAAATTCTTTGAATATCAATTATACCATCTTCAGAAAACATGTACACAGATACATTTCAAAGTTTGATCTAATTTTTAGAAGTATTATTCTACTTCTGCTTCTCTTCTACAGAATGAATATTTAAGAGTGTTCTTTTTTTTAAATGTATTTTTAAGACATGTATTATTAATGCCCTGGTTAGCATGGCTTAGAGTGTGGGGAGGCAACCAATCGATGTCTCTCTCTCACAGTGATGTTTCTCTCTCCCCTTCTGCCCCTCCCTTCCACTCTCTCTAAAAATGAATAGAAAAAATACCCTCAGTTAAGTATTAATAACAAAATAATAAACTAAAATTTATTAATTATGGGAATTCAGTTGTGATTTTTCAAACTGTCTCAACTGAGTTAAGTGGGATGCCCCCTCGTCTCTACACAATAGTATAAAAGTGGGGATACATGCTCAGGTTGAGAGCACCTCTGACCTCTGCATTTCTTTTTCCTCAAGCTGAGTATCCAAAGACAACTGAGATGTTCAATTGAGACACTTGCTTTCAGGCCCAGAACCACCTGACTCCAAGACATTTCTCAGAACACATGACTTCCAACCTGCTGTCGGACAGTAAGTCACTGTCTGATACGGTTCAGAGCAATCAGTTCTCCCAGCTGGAGAGAGACAGAAAGAATGCCAGTAATGCAGGCCCTCCTAACCCCGCAGCTCTCTGCGTACACGGGATGGACAGTGCCCTGAAGTCCGGGAAATACCCACCTCTAACTTCAGAACATCATGCTGAAGTTTGCGCTGAAATTCCAGGAAGTTTTTGATGGTCAGCTTCCCTTTGAGATCAGCTCCAAAAAAGTAGGTTGTGAGGGCTGAACACAAGCCAGACTTGAGGGTGTTACCAGTAGTAGGACGATCTCTGTGACGCATACCCATACTTGTTTGGGAGCGAATGATGCTCTGAACCTAAAGAGAAGCAAACCCCCATCCAGAAAAACATTACAAAGTGAAAAATTAGAGAAAAGTAAGGAAAATAACTGCCTATTGATTGTTTATTCTTTGCCTTCACTGTGCTACAATTCTTTCTTTTGTATTACTTTACTTAAAAAAGTCTTTATTGCTGAAAGTATTATAGATGTCTCCCTTTACCCCCCATTGACCCCTTCTAGCCCACACCAGCTTTCCACTCCATGCTCACGACAATCCTATGAGAGAAGCCCTATGAGGTTCCTTATTTCATAGATGAGAAATTTGGGGCACATAGAGTTAAACAATTTGCTCAAAGTCAAGTAGCAGCACCAGGATTCTAACACAGATGTCTGATACTTTTATAATTGGGACCCTCCTATATATCTCTCTTCAGAAAAGAGTATATATTTGTTTTGAGGCTCCAAACCTCTCTCACAATAAATAATGATCAACTTCACAGTAATACCTTCCTTTTCTCACGATAATTTTTAAAATTCCACAATTTTCACTACTAATTCTCTAGTTGTGAAGAGTGACAGCACAGTTATAGGCAAATAAATACTTAACATCTAAGAGAATAACATTTATTAGAATGATATATGAAAATACAAAATTGTATGAAATAACTCTCCAAGAAAACATGGGGGATTAGTTCAATCTCTGAGAAGTTTTAAAAGTGCTTTTTTTGAGAAAGGATAACTTTTGGGACTACAACTATGGCTTAATGATATATATATATCATTAAGTATAGTTTTTTGAGGCAAGTTGGTAATTGCTATAACTTTTTTGCCCCTACTAGTTCCTGCCATTTTTCTACCTCTTTACAAGCTAAAAAACACAGCTATTCAGAATAACTAAATTGGATACATAAGGGTAAATAATAAAATATGTTACAGAAATAAACAATATATGTAGCCTTGACGTTTAAATAGCCAAATGAGAAAAACATAACAAATTCACCCTAGTTAAGTGTTTATTATTTTACTTGTTCTCTATGACCATAAAATATTTATTTAAGACAACTTAGAAGTCACAGGCTCTATAAAGGGTGTAAGAGTATAATGGAAAGACTAGTCAGGAGACATGGGGTCTGGTTCTGTTACTCTGTAGTGAGAGTAGAATTTGTGCAAATCATTTAATCTCTTTAAGCCTTATTTTTCTCATGTTCGCAAAGCACATTATCATTGTTTTCTTCTAACTCCAGGTTAACATCATAAATGGTTTTGTTTATGATTTTTTCTGGGTTCATATTTATTTATGTAAATAAGATTGGCTGGCATTTTTATTCATTGACTGATTTTTAGATAGAGAGGAAGGTAGAGATAGATAAACATCAATTTATCGTCCTACTTATTTATGCATTCATTGGCTGATTCTCTTTTGTGCCTTCAACGGGGCATTAAACCCACAACCTTGTTGTATTGGAATGATGCTCTAACCAATAGAGCTACCCGGCCAGGGCCCAGATTGGTTGACTTTTGTTTCTCAGGCACACGGAGACTTAAAAGCCAGGTATGTAATAGATTTTAAAATTATTTAAATTGGAGTTTTTTAGACTTTCTTCTTACTTTTTAAAAATGTTTTTTTATTGACTTTACGGAGAGAGGAAGGGAAAGAGAAACATCAATGTTGAGAATGAGATACCGACTGGCTGCCTACTGTGCATCCCCGACTGGGAATAGAGTCCACAACTGGGACATGTGCCCTGACCAGGAATTGAACCAGTGACCTTGGTGGATGGGTTGATGCTCAACAACTGAACAACTGGCTGGGCACAGTTTTTTGTATTTTAAATTGAAACACAAAATAATCAGAAAAGTGCTTCTCCTATTTGAAGGCAATATATAAATCATCTTATCTAAGAGAGAAATGAGTAATTTTCCAATAGTAGTGAACCAATATTGAATCAGTATTAGGACCTACCATGATTTAAGTTTTGTTGTGGCTATAAATATTATAGCTTATAGCTCTGCTATTGTGGAAACTGTATGTTAGCTTCAAAAGTGGTGCTCAGAGTATTTGTATAAGTGACTGGGGGAAAAACTGTGTTTTGGGAAAATTAACTAATACTATAACATCTTTATTTTTTTATAGCATCTTTATTAATGATTAACAATAACACAATCCAAATACTATCACACTTATGTTAAACTATTAATAACTATAAATATTCTTTCATTAAAAACTTTATTGAAAAGTACATATCACTAGGTTTCATGTCTGTGTGTGTGTGTGTGTGTGTGTGTGTGTGTGTGTGAGAGAGAGAGAGAGAGAGAGAGAGAGAGAGAGAGAGAGAGAGAGAAAGAGAGAGAAAGGATATTAAATGAAAAATATCCAGCAATAAGCAATTCATAAGTTTTAAATTGCATGCCATTCTGGGCAGTGTGATAAAATCTCTCACCGTCCTGCTCCATCCCACTTGGGATGTGAACCATCCCTTTGTCCAGCATATCTATGCTATATCTGATACCCACCCATTAGTCACTTAGTAGCCATCTCAGTTATCAGATCTGTTGTCACGGTATCACAATGCCTGTGTTCAAGTAGTCCTTATTTTACTTAATAATGGCCCCAAAGCACAAGAGTATGGTGTGGACAATTTGGATATGCCAAAGAGAAGCCACAAAGTGTATGTATGTTTAGGAAAAATCACAATATGTATAGAGTTTGATACTATCCAAAGTAGCAGGCATCCATCCACTGGGGGCCAGGTCTTGGAACATTTCTCCCTCGGATAAGGGAGGGTTATTCTATGCAGATATAATACATAGGACAACTACGGCACAAAGAATGGAGAAGGGGTAAATGGTACATGGTTGCAAAGTTTCTATATTTTATGTGCCATAGTAAAATATGAATTCTAATAGATTGTATATATTTAAGAGTGTAGAACTGCCCTGCTGGTGTGGCTCCGTGGTTGAGCACTGACCCAGGAGCCAAGAGGTCACAGGTTCAATTCCTCGTCAGAGCATATGCCTGTGCTGGGGGCTGATCCAGAAGGGGGTGTGCAGTAGGCAGCCAATCTATGTTTCTCTCTCATTGATGTTCTATCTCTCTATCCCTCTCCCTTCCTCTCTAAAAAATCAATAAAAACATATTTTAAAAAATGTATGATGGACATAGGGTGCAAATTTGAATAAATGTCTCTAGGTATTTTAAAATATTTGTCTCTGTGCATTTATTACTTGCCATTCATCCTTGTATTCTGAAACTGCCTAGCAAAGAGTAGCTGCTTGATAAACATGGCCTGAATATATAATTGAATATCCATAACTTAGCCTCTAAGCATTATAGTTGAGTTCATATTGGGAAATCAGAGCAATCTTGACCTTAATAGTATATTCAAATAATTCCTTATGTTTAGAGTTAAAACAAGAAAACCCATATGTTAAAAGTTAGTAATTTTGAAAAATGACACATTAGGTACTTCAAAAATTGGGTAGCATCTGAGTCTATTGACCAAGGCCAAAATAACTCCAAAGCACATGAAACTGGGTTAAATATGAATGTATTTAAAGGACCTTTCTAAGACAACTTGCCTGTTCAAACTCCTCCATGTCTACTTCTCCATCTCCATTCAAGTCAAACATCTTGAAAGCAATTTCAAAATTTCTCTGAGGAGCTGCAAGTAGAAAGGAAGAAAGGAAGGAAGAAGGGGGAGGTGGAAACAATATTTAGATGGCATTGACAAAAACAAAATCAGTCATTTAAGAAAAACAGATGAACACTAAAAAATATCAAGTCATAGAATACCAATGTATTTATCTATTAATAGATCAACCTTTTTGTGATACTCCTTAAAACAAAGAGAATTTCAGCATAGCCAGTAAAGATAGCACTTGTCTATCTTTGTGTTTCAATATTCTCTTAAATACTTCTGCTTTGCTTCCTTAGACACAATCCTCTTAGCTGTGTAATACTAATGTTGCTGCTCTGTTACTTAAATATAGAATCATTTGTCTGGGCCTGAAAGTCTGTGAGACGTACTGCTGCAAAGAAGTTGAAATGCTCTTTGTCTTGCTTTCTAGCCTCTCCATTTTAAGTACAAGAAGAAGTTCAGTGGATGTCATTCTGCCAACAGTTATTATCTGTACTATTGATACTTAACTCATTATCAAGATAGCTCTGGGGAAAGGCAGAAAAGTATACTGTTAGCTGCTCAGCCCCCTATTTCAACCATGTAAGTTGGGTATACAAATTACTGAGTAAAATATACTTAAATGTTGAATTTATGCTAAATTTTAGAGTCTGAAAAGATGGTGTGTTTTCTTTCCCTTAGGTGAATGATGAAAGCTCTTGAAGACTTTTTTGTTGTCCCTAGATCAATGAAAACATAATGTACAATGAAAACATTAGAATAATATGTAAATATAACAGCCCTCTTTCCTCACCATGCTAACTGTTCTGATAGCCCTAGCTGGGTTGCTCGATGGTTAGAGCATTGGCCTGCTGACTGAAGAGTCAAGAGTTTGATTCTGGTCAAGGGTACGTAACTTGGTTGAAGGCTTAATACCCAACCACTTAAGGAGGCAACCAAACCATGTATCTCTCGTATATGGATGTTTCCCTCTCTCTGTCTCTTCTCCTCCCTTCCATTCACTCAAAAAAAAAAAAAAAAAAAAAAAAAAAAAATCAATGGGAAAACTATCCTTGGGTGAAGATTAACAACAAAAAAGGTTCTGATAAAGAAAACTTCCTTTGGTGCTTTAAATTTATACAGCTGTAGAGAACAAACCAAAATAAAATATCCTCATGCTATTGAAGTAAATTTTTAGCTAATATAACTTTTTTAAAAAATATATTTTTTTATTGATTTTTTTACAGAGGAAGAGAGAGGAATAGAGAATTAGAAACATCGATGAGAAAGAATCATCAGCTGCCTCTTGCACACCTACTGGGGATGTGCCCCCAACCAAGGTACATGCCCTTGACTGGAATCGAACCTGGGACCCTTCAGTCCACAGGCTGACGCTCTATGCACTGAGCCAAACCGGTTTCAGCTAGCTAATATAACTTTCACGAAAAAATTTAAAGATTATATATAGACAAAAAAAGTGAAAAAGAGCTTAAGACATTATTCATAGTTGTAGAAAGTCCACATCCCCATCTTGGTTAGGAATTTGTCAACAGAAAACTGAACGTCTAGTCTTAAATTCCAGTTTCCGCTCGATAGCCAGCGAGACTGGCAAGCTCCTGGTTTTTAGCTCCAAGGGTAAATGATGTGTCTGTCTGCTTCCAATTGCCTGCCTCCCCTGATAATGGCCTGCAACTGGTTTGCTCTTCTTTAGGCCACAAGTACAATTACTAAGAAGGATCCAGCCGGGGAAATTGGATTTTTATATTATTCACTGCTGCCTCTTAAATTATCTCTACCTGTCTAGATGCTATCCTTTACTGAAGAGTTACTATGTGCCAAACACTGAGCTGGAAAATTTAAAGTGGCCGAGAATCTGATACTGCACTCTCAACCCTGCAAGGCTTATTTCTTTATATTTTAACTACAGGAGGAAATTGGTGCTCCAAGTCATTAAATGACTAGCTCAAAGTCATACAAGCAAGCAAATATGTGACGGAATTGGCAAAGTGAACCTAGGTCAAGGGGCACTCCAAAGCCCATAGACTTCTCATTATGCTCCCCGGCTTCCAATTTGAAGGAAGACAGTGGTACTTATAATAACAAACAAACTCTTTATTCTGATATGTTCTGACCTAGAAAACAACAACGGACGTGACTCACTGGTGACATCGGTCTCTGCAACAGCTGAGAGTTCCAAGTTGTTCATCTCAAAGACATATCTGATATCAAAGCAACACTGCCATGCTCAGCAGTTTAGACTTGGCTGCATTAACTGGAGACTTATAGGCAACATTAGATTCTCAGGCAGGATTATTAAACATCTTAAAAAATTCTGAATATGAATTTCTGTAGAGAGGAATACACTCTCCTATTCTCCCCCACTATCTCACATTTGGCCCACTTCACTCACACACATTATCTGCTTAATCCATGCAGATACCCGAGCCTATAACTACTGCAAACAATATGAAGCCACTGAAAGTTTAAGCAGAGGGACGCACAATCAAGCAGGCATTTTTGAAGAACTTCCTTGGCTACAGTGAAGGATGAGTTGGAAAATAAGAGCCATCTGCAGCGAGGACCACTGAAGGTCTTCTAAGTTTTAAAAATAGTCCTGAGCTGATGGCAATGGTAGTAGAGAGGAGAAAACAAACTTGAAATAGCAAGGCAGAAATTATACAACTTGATTATAATCAGTTATGATGAGTTGAGAGTGAGAAAGGATGAGGGCATGACTGGCCTAGGCTACTGGCAGCTTGCACATCATTCACCAAGAGATACAAGAAATGTAAAAGGTTTGAGAAATAAAATGAGTTCAGATCAGGCCTGCGGAATTCAAGGGGTCAAGAGCATATTCAGATGAGAATGTTCAGGAGGTAGTTAGAAGAGAGGGATTAAAACTCAGAGTCATTAGCATAAGTTTGGTGAACTGCAGAGAGCCCAAAGGAGTTGCCCAAGGAGGACTGAAGGTTGAGGAGGATAAAGAAAGGGTAGGATGCAGTTGAAAGAAAACAGAAAGGAAGGAGTGACAGAGGAGGTGGCATCATAACATTGGAAAGAATACAACCCAAATGAATAGGAATGGAAAAATTTGGCAAGAGCCAGTATGTTGCAACCTATGAATTAAAGCAGCATTTCCATTCCCATCTCCACTGATTACAGAGGTTACAGAGTACTTAAAATTTTAGCTTTATCAGAATTGTCCTATTAGTTCTGTGAAGGCATGTGCCTGTATCATTTAAATGACTGAATGAGTTACTCTAGCAAACCATAGTTCATATATCCTCTTACAATTATATACAATTCAGTTTATCAAAAAAAGCACGCCCTGTACTGCTTTAGGTTTCTCTACCCTTTTGTCCTTCCAAATAGAGTATTTGCTTTATGTGGAGCTACTCAGAGTGTTTAGTGAAGGACATGTGCTGACATTTTAGGCTGAGCCCCTATGCACTGGTCACTGGTAAGGCAAGTCAAGGCAGCAGCCTGCACCTTCTCCTTTAGCTTTACCCAGCAGCCATCAGGGAAGGCCCTTCTTCCCAACGTAGTTCTCTCAGCCCATTCAGCCTTCATCTGCTGATCATAAACAAGAAAAAACCAGCTTGCTTTAAGTGAAATATGCTGCACAGGAATATCCTGTTAGGCAATTCTCTTGAACTTCCCAGTCTCCACTTTAGGATAATTCTGAAATCCCTTCTTGGTTAGGAATATTTCAGAACGATTCTGAAATCCAGCTGTTCTGGAGAGCTTTCCGGTGCCTTGTGTTTACACTAACAACCTATTTCCATAGAAAGGTACTGAGAAAGGAATCCTGTAGAATCCCAGGCTACTTACAGAGAGAACAGTGAAGCTTTCCCCTTCCTGTGTTAACAACTTATCTACCTCTATGCAGTGATCCCAAAATGATCGTAACCTATGTAAGAATTGATTAAAACAATAAGATTCCATGCAAAGTTCATTACTATACAGCTTTTACTCAGAATTCCACAACCATCTTTGCTATAGGAAATGGAGATACAGTAGGGTCTATTCTAGTTAAGTATCATTATTATATTACTCTATGTTAACAATAATAACAACTCTAGACAGTTTTTTGAAGCACAGATTTTTCTATATACTTTGCTTTTTTTTTTTTTAATTCATTTTATTGATTTTTCACAGAGAGAAGGGGAGAAGGATAGAGAGCTAGAAACATCGATGAGAGAGATACATCGACCTGCTGCCTCCTGTACACCTCCCACTGGGGATGTGCCCGCAACCAATGTACATGCCCTTGACCAGAATCGAACCTGGGACCTTTCAGTCCGCAGACTGACGCTCCTTCCACTGAGCCAAACCGATTTCGGCTCTACTTTGCTTTTTAATAGAAAATGCAGAGTAGGACTCTAATTTTGGCTCTTCCAACAATATAATGAGTCAATATGTCTTAAATTCTTCTTTGGTAGTATTGATAGAATGAATAGGTTAGCCCTGGCCAGGGTGGCTCAGTTGGCAGGAGCGTCATCTGTACAACAAAAGGTCAAGGTTCAATTCCTTGCCAGGGCACATACCTAGGTTGCTGATTAAATTCCCAGTCCCGGCAAGTGTGGGAGGCAGTTGATGGGTGTTTCTCTCTCACATCTATCATTCTCTCCCCCTCCTCTTCTCTCTAAAAATCAATGAAAATGTCCTCAGGTGAGGATTAAAAAAGAAAAAGAAAAAAAGAATAGGTTAGATTCTTATTTTCTGTTGGTTAGATGATCCCAATATTTCGGGGGGGGGGAGGTTATAATCTGATAGAGCATCTGAATTAATCTGAAAGATAGTCATATTATTTTGAAATTCTGAAATACATATACGTATAGGAATAGAGGGTTAAGTTTCGTATATGGGAACAGAGGGTTAAGTTTTTCTCTTTTCTGAGTTTCATTTCTCAGGCTGGTGCACTTGCATACTTCCCTTTAATCATGAGCAAAGTGATTGAAGAGGCGATTCATTTCTGGACAATGTACACTGCGCCCAGCAAGGAAGCAGAACTGTTAAGCATGGTCAGGCCAACCCCACAGGAGCCAAGGCATCATCTCACTGCCTGACAACTAAGAACAACAGTTGAATTCTGCTAGCCCCCGGACTGAATGTAACTGCATTCTGTTCCCAACCTCACCCCACTCCATTTCCCCTATATAATCTTGTCCCCTGGATCTTGCTGTAAACAGATTTTGGATGCTTGTAAGCTCCCTGTCTTCTGATATGTTTTGACTTAGGAAAATACTTTAGCACATAATGATCAACCTCACTACTGAATTTTTAAGGATGATCAGATAGCCTTTGATTATTTCTGAGAGGAAGATCATCACTTCTGAAGTCTAATCTTGGTTGGGATTATTAATTGAGCTTTTTATCTCATGTACAGCCCAAATCTAAACTTGTGCAGCTCTTACACATCTCATAGTTTAATTTTTTAGAGAAATAAAAAAAAAATCTGCTTCCTCACTTATTTGATAGCTCTCTAAACTCATAAAAACATATTCTCATGTGTCTATTAAGTTTCTTAGAGCTTATTTCCAGGCTCCAACATCCTAATAGTCCTCCTTTGGGGTACTTCAGATAATAATGACTCCCATAAGCACAGTATCCTAAATATAGTTAATTGTGGAATGAGTTATCCTTTCTACAAATAACAGGACACATATACTTTTTCTTTTCCTAAAATGAAATAAGACATGTATGTTTTGACTCATCAATCCATGTGAACATTTCCCAATGCTAACGAATCTCTGCATTACATACATTAAATGTTACACTGAATTTCATTGCAAAATTTATTGTAATTTGTTTGATATCTGATTTATTTCCAATTTATTTTTTGATCATCAGCATCATTATACACACAGTAACTTTATTAGCCTAAACTTATAGAAATGGAATTGCTGGGCCAAAGAGTAAACACTTACGAAAGTGTTTGATAAACATGGTCAAGATTCTAAAAAGGTATGCCAATATATGCTTTCACTAATACTATCTAGGCAATTAAATTTGTGTTACTCCAATAGTTAATTCTTTAAAAAAATATGTTTTTATTGACTTCAGAGAGGAAAGGAGAGGGGGAGAGAGAGACAGAAACACCAATGTGAGAGAGAATCATTGATCGGCTGCTTTCTACATGCCCTGCACTAGGGATTGAGCCTGCAACCCAGGCATGTGCCCTGACTGGGAATCGAAACGTGACCTCCTGGTTCATAGGTCGACACTCAACCACTGGGCCATGCCAGCTAGGCTCCGATAGTTAATTCTGATGCACAAATGGTTTTAGATACAATATGGATTTGGTAGTCAAATGAGAGAAGAAAAAGTTAATTGTCCCTTTAAAAGAGGTCAACGATTTTAATCTTTATCCCAGTTTCTTGGAGTCCTTTAAGACCTTTGAAAGTGATCTAAATTTAGGAAAGACTTTGTTCACCTCATGTAGTTTTGAGCCCAAGCTTAACTGTAACTAAGCTAGCATAAGTGTAGGGCAGACATAGTAGGTAAAGCTCCCCATAATGCAAGGTACAGCCATGATGTCTACACTCTGTATTGCTCACAGACTAACCCATAACCTGTGATTTACTGGCCAGTCAGAGGTAGCCAGGACCTCATTAGAACAGGTATGGGTGGGGAATAAGGAGTTCAGCTGCTATTCCTAACAGCACTTACTGGAAGGATCTGGCTAGAAGACCCATGTTTCTACTCTGACAAATTCTTACCATAAGAAAAAACACAGAGACATTACATGTATAATCTTAGAACAAATTTAAAATTCAGTGTTACTTAGTCTTGTTTTTACTTGAGAATCTTAAGCCAAGGAAGAAAACTATGAGATAGTTACTATGAGGTAATTATCATTACATAGACTCTACAATGGCTACAAAGAAGACTCCATTCTTTACTGCTTGCCAGTGTGATTTATTTACTTAATGTCAGTAGGCAAAGTTTTCTAAATAATATAAAACACTAAGTGTCAAGAACCTGAGTTTAAATACTTCATAAGAAAACTGAAGTTTTTCTGAATTTGTTTAGCAAGGTTTTCACAGAACACTATTCAGAAATGTATCAATATTCTAGAAAATACATTTCAGCCCTGATTATCAAAAGAAAAGATTTATAACTTAACACCTGCAGAAAATAAATAGAAATAGCTGATGTTTCTAGTCCATAGTGCATAACTCATCTTTGAGCTATATCTCATCCTCAGTTACTGATGACCTTCTGAGAGCCGCCAGAAACAGTATTTCATTTAAATTGCTCTTCTTTACACTGCTGACAGTTGTGCTAAGGAAGAGTATTCAATGCCAGAGATGTCAAAAAGCTTAGATTCCCCGAGAGTTCCCCGGAGAGCAATTCTTAAAGGAATGCCAGCGCTTTACCCTTGCGTTAAGGTCATGTTCTACTTTAGGATTTATTTTCTTCAAATGCAAGTTACTATTTTTATGGCCAATTGACATGTACCTTTGTGACAGACCCCACCTCTATCTTCACAGATCTGAAACCATAATCATCTGCTTTCATTTCATTCTATGCAGTTTCATTCCATTCCATGTGCTTGATACAAGCCAAAGTGACAGCTTATGCCAAGATACAACTTACTGTATAGATAATTTAATAAAGAGCTTTGATTTTTTACTTAATCTACATTAAACTGAAGGACCCTCTTTACATGTGACTAGGTTGGCATTCACCCAAAATCTGTTTTTCAGTTTAGTGTTCAAATAAAAAAAAATGTAAGTATTGTTATAATTTTCTACCTTTCATCATGTCTATATACATAGAGAATACTGCTTCAAAACCATTTTAAGTGCAAGGCAGGAAGCAAAGGATATTTGGAACAATATAAAATTTTAGTATGCATACTAAAATAATTATTCAGAAAAATTATTGAATATTTACTTAGCAAACCAATATACACATGGAATACTCATTAAGTACCAGATACTACGCTGAATATCTTCTCTAGAAGGGGCAGCGATTAGGCAAACCATTCCATCAAAAATCACTATTTTTTGCCTTAACTTCCTTTTTGCAACCTCAAATTCCCTAGCACAACATAAGAATTTTCTAAAGTTGTTTCAGGAATAGGTAAGCAACACATAATGAAGCCTAAGCATAAGCAAACATTATTAAATTTTGGTTTTTAGGGAAAGGTAAGCTATATACTAGTAGATGGACCAATACATTCGATGTAAAAAATGGAGCTCGTAGACCATAAGCAAAGGTCTTGAAACATCATCAATTACTGAGGCCTGAATTCCAACCAGCCACCCCAACCATCAACAGAACAAAGAGCCTGGGCACAGGACACAAGCAAGAATTGTAGGAGGCTGGAATCTGGGAAAGTTTCTATCACCTGTTCCAGGGAAATGAAAGAAAGACTGAGGCTCTTTTGACACTGCAGTCAAGGATATGGAGCTGAACTAGGTTTCTTTCTATCTAGAAGAAACTCAGGGAAGCCACATCTCAAATATCCTTTCCTTCAAATACTTTAAAAATGACTATTTACGGTAAATGACTATTTACCGTGTTTCCCCGAAAATAAGACATCCTCTGAAAATAAGACCTAGCGCATGGAAAGATAAGACATCCCCTGAAAATAAGACCTAGCGCAACTTTGGGAGAAAAAATTAATATAAGACACTGTCTTATTTTCGGGGAAACAGGGTAGTAGAATATGGTGTCAGATACTTTGGGGATACAAAACCACATGATAAAGTTCCTACTTCAAGATAGTTTATAGCCCAGCTAGTGCGGGTCAGCGATTGAACATGCACTCAGGAACTAAGAGGTCACTGGTTTGATTCCCAGTCAGGGCACATGTCGAGGTTATGAGCTCGGTCCTCAGGAAGACTGAGGGGCATGCAGGAGGCAGCCAATCGAAGTTTCTCTCTTATTGATGTTTCTATCTTTTTATCCCTCTCTCTTCCTCTCTCCTTAAAAATCAATACAAAACATTTAAAAAAATATATTATTTATAGTGGATCCAAGATAGCAGTGGGTAAGTGGAATCTACCCTCACCTCCTCCCAGGACCAAACTAGAATTACAACTAAATTACAGAACAATCATCCTGAATAATCAACTGAAGACCAGCTGAAGAAAAGTCTTATAACCAAGGATTTACCGAATAAGCCACACTGAGACTGGAGGGTAGAGACTCAAAAAGGGCTGGCCCCATTCCCACAGGCAGCGGCTAAGATCCTAGAGGGATATCTCGGCTGCAGAAAGGTTCCCTCTGAGAAGAGTGTTCTCAGTTCCAAGCTGGGCTCCACAGTCCAGAGCACCAGAGCCGGAAGAGGTGATATCTGGCTGTGAAAATAGGCAGGGATTCTGTCTACCAGGAAGAGACCAGAGTCAGCTAGAGATAGGCTCCCTCTTAAAGGACCAATACAAGACCTCATTCACAGCCACTGCCCCCTGGGCTCCTGTGTAGGGAGGGCTGAGCAGACTAGAATCACACCAGGAGAACTGGAGTTTGTGGTTCTGGGGAGAGAGCTGAAGAAACCACCACCAGGATCCCAAAGCCGAACCCTCTCCCACACTGCAGATGCCACTTTTCTTGGGTAGAATTCTGCCAGCCTGGGGGATCAATAGCTCCACCCTCCTGACTCCCTGTCACCCCACCTTGTGGAGCTTGTACCCTGCTGAGGCATGAGGTGCCTAGGCTGGGGTGTACAGACCTGGGTAGACTCAGAGATTGTTAGTAACTGAGTTGTGTGAATTTCGGGCGGGGCAATTCCTCTTACTTTCCTTGCATACTTGATTGGCATTTCCCCCTCATGGGAGATCCGACCCCTTCCTGACTCCTGGTGGCTCCGTCCTGCCAAGGTTTGGGCAGAATCCGGGACAAATTGAGTTCTGTGGTTCATGGACAAGGGACAGAGGCCACATTTGCCCAAGCCTGACCAGCACTTACCCCTCACAGAAGAGCCACTAGCCCCCTCTCAACTCCCAGAGGCCCTACCCTGCTGAGATTTGGCTCCTGGCAGAATCTGAGACAGACTGAATTGTGGGACTCTAGGATGGGGCCATTTTCCCCTTGTACGCCTGACTGGCCCAGAGCCCTCCAGTCACATGGCCAAATCTTGTTCTATTTGGGTCTGATAAACTCTGCTGGCCTCACTTGATGACTCCCTGAGAACCTGCCCCAACACTAAAATGTGTGAATACCCAGAGGGTGTCAGCTAGACTTGGTCAACCTGGTGACTTTTGCTAAGTGGATGCCCACCCTGCACTGGCACTGAGTGTGAACCTGTGTCAATCTGGTGAACACCACTTGCCCTTACCTGGTGACTCACTGAGAAGCTACCTCATGACTCCAGGACTGCAGAGGCCTTTTCACTAATTAAGCCCAATTGGCAGCCTGCAGGCAGAGGCAGACAAGGCAGGTCCGGGAGCCTTGGGTCTTTAGCTGACCTGCTCCCAGCCCAGTGCTGATAAAAGCTGGCCTTGGTATGCAGGTTGGTCCTTCCCATGCACACCCAGGCCCAAAGCTGAACAGGTTAGAATCACACCAGCAGGGGCAGCCACAAACTGTGGATAGCTTTGTAGCTCCAAACAGGCTGTCTAGAGCCAGTCACAGGCAGTGTGTAACGTTGGCCTGCACCAGAGTTCCTTCCAAGAGGCCCAAAACAACACTTCCCAGTGGCCAGCTTCAGATAACATCAGAGCAGAATCCATGCTACAGTATTTTTTTTTCTTTAGATTTTTCTAACAGCTTTCAAAGATTAATAGTAAATAGTAAGAAAGATGTTTAATATTTATCTATTATGAATATTATTCTCTCTAGGATTGTTTTTATGTTATTAGCCCACAGGGTTAATAACGTTAGTTAGGACACATATGAAGACAAAGAGCACAACAGAAATATTTCATAATTGTCAATGGCCAAAATCCAGAGTTTAAATTATATTATCATTATCTAGTAAAACTTAGCATTAGCAAAGAGATGCAAGTCAATAAATATTATGCAGCATTCTAGATAAATCTTGATGACCCTTTTCTGTACCACGTTATAGAGAAAAATCTCTGATTTCTATTATTAGATTTAAGACCATCAGCTAATGTTGCAATCAGTAAGTGCTGAGAATTAAGCCATTAATAATCATTCTTCTATATTCTCAGTCAAATCCTATAAAATTACTTTAAGGATTAGAGACTCTCCATTAACAGTTTCTTTACTTTGCCTAAAATGAATCTGATTTTATTAATGAGTATTTATTTAGTAAATACCTAATATTCTATTTGATACAAATGCTATGGCCAATGTTGAAAATTCTTCAAGTTATTCCATTAAACTTGACCAGGGAGATGAGGTATAAAGCAATATAATTTATGACATAAGAATAAGGAGGGATATAAATATATAAATTCTGAATTATAAGAAAACAAGCTTGTTTGAAAATATATTAATTAAAAAACACATTTTTTCCCCTCCACTGGTACTGGCTGCAGATTGAAAACAACCAATTTGGCCTGCAACAGAGTCCCTCCCAAGAGGCCCCAGAACCAACATACCCAGTGGCAGCTTCAGACACAACTTATATCTCAATTTGGGATATAAACAGCAAAGTCAAGTCTTATGTTTGCTAAAGTTCCTTTTGGAGAAAATTGAGGAAAAAAATTATAGTCTTGCTTTGTTATCTGGCCACAAAGCTTTATATACACCAGATATGTTTGTAGTGAATATTGTCACAAACATGTGATCAGTATCATGCAGTTTACATACTAGGTAATAAACAAGGTCAATCCATCAGTGATATAGAATGTTGAACAGTGATAATTGCTAAGGAGAAAAAACAAAGCAGGAATTAGGAGGTATATATGTATAAGTGTGTGTGTGTGTGTGTATGTGTGTGTAACGGTATTTAAAATTTTAGGTTCAAAGAAGGCCCTCATTATCCCAAGCTCATATAGGGAAGATATGATATGCCACTGCTTATTATAAGCACAAGACATTGTTGCCAAATTGATTGTTCTTTTTAATGTGTGTCCAAAAAATTCTTATTTAGCTAAAAATCAAACTTCTAAAAAGCTTAAATGAGAAGATGAGCTCTATTTAAATGGGGAAAATTGTATTATACTAGAGGCCTGGTGCACAAAATTTGTGCACGGGTAGGGTCCCTAGATCTGGCTGGCGATCTGGGCTGATTGAGGCCTTCCAGCTGCTGGCTGGGGCCTTCCTTCCCTGGCTGCTGGCTGCCAACCAGGGCCTCCCTTCCCCAGCTGCCAGCTAGGGCCTTCCTCCATTCCACACCATCCTCTGGTGGTCTACACACATCATAGCAAGCATAGGTCGAACTCCCAAGGGAATAATTTGCACTATATATATATATATATATATATATATATATATATATATATATATATAATGTTTTAGAGAAGCAGCTTTGTTAACTTTATTTTCAGGAGAGGTAGTTATAAGTTAAGAAAGGAATTTAATGATTTACTCTATATATATATATGTGTGTGTATATACATGTATATATATTCCTCAAATTCTATTTTTGACAATATAGTGTAGTTTTGAAAGTACTTTGAGTTTCCAAATGTCAATCCAGTTGGGCAGAATGTTCATATTCTTCAACATGATGCCAATTTCTTGAACATTGAGCCCATTAATTTTGCAAAAAAACAGCTAATCAGAAATATGACAGTCCTGCCTGGCTGATGTGGCTCAGTTTGTTGGAATGTTGTCCCATTTACCAAAAGGTGGTGAGTTTGATTCCTGGTCCAGGCAAAAACTCATGTTGCAGGTTCCATCCCCAGCCAGGCATGTGAGGGAGGCGACCGATTGATGTTTCTCTCTCACATCTATCTTTCTCTTCCTCTCTCTAAAATCAATTAAAAAATAAATTAAGAAGAAATATGACAGTTCTGCATTATCAGGGTTATACCATTCACATTGCTCTGGCTGTCTGTCTGTTGGAAATCTCAAGGACAGACCCTGTTGTCCATCATGACAAGAGATTAATGAAGACACCAATGCACCTCTCCCAGTCTCAGCCACTCCTTAACAACGCTTTTGGTGTTCTGCATTATCAGGGTTATACCATTCACATTGCTCTGGCTGGCTGGCTGTTGGAAATCTCAAGGACAGACCCTGTTGTCCATCATGACAAGAGATTAATGAAGATACCAATGCACCTCTCCCAGTCTCAGCCACTCCTTAACAACGCTTTTGGTGTTTAAAGAATTGCATTCTCTCTTGCAGGATGACCTGGGGATCATTTAGTGCATCTAAGACTGTAATGATCCCTTGTTATTCACAGGAAGTTGATCCACTGAGTGCCTCACTTCCTATCATCCTAGCAGCAATTTGGACATGGGAAGTTCAGTGTAATTTCTGTGATACATTTCCCCCAGTGGCTTTTTAGAGAAAGTGGAAAACGCAGTGTGCAACATTCAACATGCCCATTTTCTACTGAAGAGTTATTGCCTAGTCTCTTCACAGTACAACCGTAGAGGCACTATGCTAATTTGTGGCTTATCGTTGCTGAAAATGTGACCACAGAAGTAAAACAAAGTAACAGGAGCCCAGATACTGTGGTTGGCCTGGGTTCAAACTCTGCATCACCTATTTATTGTGGGACTCAGGGCAAGTGTTTTTTTAATATATAAACCTCTATTATGTCTCCATTCCTCATCTGTAAAATTAAGGTAATAATAGAGTAAGCATTATAAGATTGATGTAAGGAAAACATATTGTAATGGAATCACCAAAGGAGAGGACAGAAAAGCAAAGAAGTATTTGAAGACAATTGCTGAAATGTTTACAAATTAGATGGAAATTATAAACCTACAGATACAAAATGTTCAAACAACTTTACGACAAAAAACATGAAGAACGCTACATCAAGACACCGTAAATCAAAACAAACAAACAAAAAAACAACTAACGTGCCAAAAACTACATCATTGGTTGTGTACTGAGAATGATTCCTCCTACCGCCCCCCCCCCCCCCAGGGTACATTTGGCAAATCCTGAAGACACATTGGTTGCCTCATCTGAGAGAAGGGAGAGGGTATGCTACTGGCATCTACTGCGCAGAGGCCAGGAATGTTGCTAAACATGCTACAATGCACATGACAGCTCTCACAAGAATGAATTGCCCTGCCCAAACATTAGTAGTACTAACATTGAGAAACACTAAAGGCACATAATAATTAAAATGCTTAAAACCAGTGATAAAAAGAAAGTCTTAAAATCATATCCTTACTATATTTTCTCATTCCTCACAAAAACAGATATTTGACATCATAATATAAGCACTTTTATAAACCACTATGTTTATAAAACATGTTTAAGATAGGACCCAAGAACCAAAAAGTAAGGCTCAGGAACTCACGGCCCAATGTGACTTTTTTTTTTTTTAAACCTGCTTTTAAATGGTTCATATAAGGGAGCTATAATACACGCCAGATTTTATAAAGGTTCTGCTTTATAATCCTTCTGTATAAGTTAAAATCTCATTTCAGCTCAACAAACATTTACAAGGACTACTTCCACAGTACATATCATACAGCAATGCAATTTTCCAAGTTAGTCGCTTCATTTAATGTACTCTTTCTGCCATATCATGTCTATTTAATTTTAATTCTATTTTAAGTCACAAAAATGATTTAAAAATCTCTACCAATTCTGCTAGGTTTTGTTGTTGTTTTTTAAAAGAAACTCAACTGAGGATATGCTTTTAATGACTTAAGAGGGAGAAGAAGAGGGAGAGGGAGAGAGAAACATTGACTTGGGAATAAAACATCAATCTGTTGCCTCCTGTAGTACCCAGATCAGGGTTCAGACCAGGGATTGAACCCACAATCTGGTTATGTGCCCTGAAAGGAATTGAACCCATGACCTTTTGGTGTATGGGATTATTTTAAAAAATATATATTTTATTGATTTTTTTTTACAGAGAGGAAGGGAGAGAGACAGAGCCAGAAACATCGATTAGAGAGAAACATCGACCAGCTGCCTCTTGCACACCCCTACTAGGGATGTGCCCACAACCAAGGCACATGCCTCTGACTGGAATTGAACCTGGGATCTTTCAGTCCGCAGGCCAATGCTCTATCTATGAGCCAAACCAGTTAGGGCTAATTGCCTCTTTTTAAAACTTTACCTGAATTTTAATTTTTTTTCTTCTTCAAGTGGTTCTATATACAAGTTACAGAGAATTCCAGATAAGTGAAATTTCATATAACATATCAATTAACTTTATGAACATATCTTGCTCTGCCCTCCAATCAATCTAATTCTTTTTTATAGTCCTGGTGCTCCCAATAAACAAAACACACACACACACACACAAAAAAAAAGGGAAAAGTTTATACTTACTAGAAAGAACAGTTGTGAGGAAAATGTAGTCTGAAAAGGATATGAGTCCACATTCTCCAAGGGTGTAAAATATACTGCCTTCATCAGCAAATTTTTCTCGTTCTTGGGCAATTTTCTATTAAATATATGGGTCCCAGCAAAAGATAAAAAGAAGATACAGTAGAATGAGAATATAGTTAAAGATGAATCATCATTTATTTATGGTATTTATCATAAGCATATTTCTGATAGCCATTCCAAATTAATGGATCCTTTACAGTTTCAAGATGATGAAAATTATAAGACAAAAGATAATTTTGTTTCAATACTGGCTCAATATAAACAATGCAAAATAATTTCAATTTTATGACCTCTTGACATTTAGCATATACAGACTCAGTTCAAGGCTAATTTTGTTTCTTAGTTTTAAAAACAATCCATCTTCTTCTATAGAAGTATATGAAAAAAAATCAAAACAAATAAAAAAACTAAAATGAAGTCAGTTTCAATTTACTAAGAAACTATAAAATCAGTGATTAAAAATGAAGAGTTAAGCAACCAAGCCTGACATAAATGTTCAGAAAATTAATTTCTGAAATACTAATTTTAATTTTTCCTTATGACCCCCAAGAATCTTAGTTTTGGAATGTAGATGAGCTTGCAGAGTAAATAGCATCTTTAAAATAAATACACACCAAGCTTTATACATCAGTTTATTTCATTATATTTATTGTTACCTTGGTAGAAGCTCTTAATTTCATCTATTTGATGAAACTCTTCTAAAATGCAGCTATTACTCAAAGAGAGTTAATTACCAGCTTTAGTAATTGTCTGTCTGGCAAGTGGTCTCTTCCTGAATGCTTAAACAAACCCACTATGTTTTCTGAATTCCTAGCTGAATTATAAACTTAGTAGTAACATTGGAGATATTTTCAAAAACTGAAAAGGATCCAATAAAGTGTTAAGACTTGAAACTCATTTCCATAAGTTCTGGGCCAACCAAAGATATTTAAGGAATTATTCTGGTGCCAAAAAAAAAAAAAAAGTAACACGAGGTTTCAAGAACCCAAAGCAACAAAGTACCATCAAAGCAATAATGTCATGCAAGAGCAAAATGTTAAGCAGCATTGCAAACATAACCTTGGGAGAAATATTATGAAAACTAAACCAACAAGCATCACCACACCAGCATCCAGTTACACACTATCCGATAGGTTACCTCTGTCTAGTGAAGATCCCATCATATACCACAAAGGAAAGAAAACTAGTTAACCAATTGAAAACACAAGTACCGAGTGAATTACCATGATCTTCTTAGTAAACCCATTGATCGCCTTTACTGAGTATTTGTTTGTTGATATGAAACAGTAACCACAGAAAAGTTAAAATCCATAGTTGAAGGTCAACAAAGCAGTACCAGGTTTTGATAGCAGATCCCACTTAGGAAAGGGCTTCTCTGACTCATTTGTGATGGACAGAAAGCATGGTCCTGCCTGACAGCATTTAGAGATCATTTCTTTGAGCCAACAACAAAAATGAGCTATATCTCATACCACACTGGACCTTCTACCAAGAGATTAAACACAAATTACAGTAAAAATAAATACTGCTGGATGAAAATAGGACCAGCAAAGCCTTTTACCAGGAAGGAATTATTTTAATTTCTCAAAATAAAGGAAGTAATTTTTTTTTTTTTTACAATATTCAAGATACTGCAAAAACAAAGCATATGAATAAGAAAAAAATATATAATGAGAATCATATTCCAAAGTTATACAATTACTAGGCAGAACAATAAATGTGTACAGAAGCTGAGTACTTCATATTATGTAATAATCTTATGGAGAGAGTGCTATGATCAAATAAAAATAAATAACATATTGTGATCCTGAAGTTGAGAAACAAAGACAAAAATCAAAGGGCAGATGCAGCTATGTCACAGAAGCATATCTAACATTATTTTTCTAAAAATCATCTAGACAATGCTGCTACTTAGAAGATACAGAAAGACAAATCTAGTTTTGTTGGTAACTTTCAATTTTGATACAATTTCAACTCAGAAAAGTGGAGACACATATAGGAACTCAGTATCCTTTTTACTCAGATTCACCTTTGTTCTATCATTTCATAGACATATATTTTCTTTTGCACTATTTTGAAAGTTGAAGTTATATTACAATACATTTAACACTTAAATACTTCAGTATATGTTTCCAACAAAGACATTCTCTTATATGCCACAGTATAAATTTAATAAAATTAGGATACTAAATATAGTACTATTACTTAATCCATGGTCTACTTTCAAATTTAGTCAACTCTCCCAATTAATTTCCTTTATAGCTATTTCCCTCAGTCCAGGATATAATACACTATTATGAATGGTAATGTCTTTAGTTGTCATGTCTTTTTAATATCATTAATCCAGAACAGCTTTCTTTTCCTTTCTTTCTTTTTCCCTTTGGAGGCTTTTTTATTGTGATAAAATTCACTATTTTAACCTATAAGACTGTGTGGCTTCTTTTATATAAAATGTTTTCTAGATTCATCCATGTTGTAGCATCAACCAGTACTTTTTTTTATTGCCAAATAGTATTCCATTTTACATATATACCAAATTTGTTTATCGTCCATCCAATGAAGGATATTTGGGTTGTTTTCTCCTAGGACTATAATGCATGTTGTACAAATACGTTTGACTATCTGCTTTCAATTATTTGGTGTCTATAACTTAGAAATGAATCTTGCACTCTCAGACAGGCTAAATGACTAGAGTCCTAGCTAACATTTCACTGCAACCTCATAAAAAACCTGAGCCAGCACCATCAAGCCAAACTCCTTATTCACAAAAAGCACAAGAGACAAGTAATGATTGTTGTTGTTTGAAGCCACTAAACCGGATTTTCTGTTAGAAGACTTAAAGTTACAGATTTTACATTTAGGCCTGTAATCCATTTCAAGTTAATTTTGTGTATAGTGACATAGAGGTAAGGTTTATTTTTTAAAAAATATGGACATACAATTGTTTCTAAACCATTTACTAAGAAACAATTGACCAGATAAGTATGGATCTACTGTTCTATGATGTTCTCTGATTTGAGTGACCCATTTTCTTTGGAAGGTCTTTCGATTATTAGCAAAGTATATGGTTATTTTTCAAAGTATAAATAAACATGGAATTACGTAAAATGGTTTTTAAAAGGCAGCTTGAGAGACTTTGCATGAGATCCACTTGGGGTCATGATTTAGGCCTAGTCATCCTTCCCACTAGGACCATTATAAAGTTTGCAGAGATGATAAAGATGTCATGGAACAGACCTTCAATTGTATGTTGAGAACTGCTCTAGGAACATATCTCCAGGGGCTATATTATAATGACATTTTACAATGCTGAATTAATTAGTGTGATATTCCCCAGGAAGGTACCCCCTCCTCTACTGCATTAAATGAGATATGTCCATATTTGCAACCCTCAGACCTCTAAAGGATAAGATATTCTGTTTGTGTGGTTATATACGAGAATTCTGCTGTACTAAGAATGATAGGGAGCAAGAGAGACCATGAGAATGCCAAATTGATGCATGTAAGAAAATATTGAAGAAGATAGCTAGAAGGAAAGAAATAGAAGAAAAAAGGACAATAGGAAGCTGAACAAAAAAGGAGAAAGAGCTGTGACCAGAGAGGAATACAAAGTATCAAAGTTAGGAAAAATTAAAGAAAGAGAAAGCACAAATGTTTGAGAGAAAGAACAGATAATGTGTGTGTTCTGCAGTAGCTCCTTAAAAATGAGAAAGATGTTAAAATTTTAAAATTTGTCATGCTTTGCGACGTGCCCTGTGAATACAATTTTCTGTCTTTAGAGTAAAGGTCTATATTGTTCTTTCGTGATTTTGGAGTTGGAGTTGGGGTTCTAGGAAAAAGAGAGAAAAGTTACATATATGCTTTCCAAGATATCCACTCGTCAAAGAGGGTTCAAAGAGTGGTTCAGGTATATTTAAATTTATACAGGGGTACCAAAAATAGGTTAATATTAATAAAAATATAATAATAAATAATAAAAAATAAACTGATTTATGTACTCACAACTATAAACTTACTTTTGCCAACTTCTGTACATCTAATTTATTAACTCTAAGAATTTATAAGTGAGTTGTTGAGTATCCAAAATTCCAAAGACAATTCTTACAAAATTCATAACATATATTAATTACAAACACCAAAACTGTTACAAAACCAGTGAATTATATCAATGATATTGGCTGAATAAGAATGATATTGGAGCCCAGCTGGTATGGCTCAGTAGTTGAGTGTTGAATTATGAACCAGGAGGTCATGATTCTATTCCCAGTCTGGACACATACCCAGGTTATGGGCTCAGTCCTTAGTAGGGGACCTGCAGGAGGCAGCTGATCAGTGATTCTCTCTCATCATTGATGTTTGTCTTTCTCTCCCTCTCCCTTTCCTTTCCTTTCTGAAATCAATAAAAAAATAATTCAAAAAATCTGTCAGAAAACCATAAAAATTCAATCCATCAAATTATTTAAAGCTAGGAGGAGAATCAAATAAATATGTCACAATTTGGGAGGAAATGGGCGTTACTAGAAAACTAATTTTGAGATTATTTTATGTTTTACAGCTGCTTCTTAAGTGGTCTTTTTAAATCAAAGGCCTGGCTGTACCATAAATTCTACCATTAGATCAACTAGCCATGGCACATAGGGAATCTGAAAATATTGATATTTGAGTTTGATAATGAATAAATTTTTTAAAGATCCAAAGAATGGTAAAAATGGGAAGTCAAGATTCAAGGAAGGAAAAGTAGAGGGAAGGTTTTTGGTTTTCTTACTCCAAAGTCTCATCAATGTTTAATTTTGCAAATTGAGAATGTTAAGTAAAATGTTCCTTCACTTAATTTTTGGGTAATGTTTAATCTCTGACTAAATTTTAAGTCATTTCTTCCTAAGTCAATATCATTTATATATTTCAGAGGTGATATGGAGGCATAGTCCAAAGAAAAAAATGCTCCTTAACAAACAGATTGGTAATAATGTTCATCTTCTCTGTCTCAGAAGTGGTTATTTATATAATTTTGTTATTGATGAACATTTATATTAATATGTATTTTTACTAGGAAAATCTAACATAAGAATTTAAATTTAATTCAATATACATAATAAATTCAATATAAATAACAAATAAACAAATGAAAAGGAACAAGTTTATATAAAAGTAAAATAAAATATATTCCAATTCTACTGTAAGGGCACATAATGTGAGATTAAGTAATATATAAAGATATCAGTTCAGTAAAAAAAAAAAAAAAAAAAAAAAAGATGTAATAAGGGTCTATGAGAAACTGAAGTTTCATAATGAAGTTCCTGAGGTAAGATTCTAACATTACACCAGTATACCAGGTATATGCTGAAAATTAAACAGAAGTAGGTATTTTAAAAAGAGATTGTAATAAGTTACAGAGGTATTTTTAAATGCACTTTATAACTTACATATCAAACTTTATTCCAATCACCTGAATCTCTGAAATTAAGGCCGTGAAAGCAGAATGCAGATTAACTGAACAGAATAGTATTTCTATTCAATTTACTGACAAGTGTTACTCCCTTTTGGAGAACAAAGTTATGTAAAATATTTCAAAGCAATATGCTCATTGACTTAAATAAATTGAAGTTAAACTACTTTACTATATATTTACATAACGTAGTCTTTTATCTATTTGAAATATACCTATAACACTAAAACATTCCAATTACTGACCTCAAGTAAAGGCAAATGAATAAATAATCTCATAAGAGTAATGGTATTGATCTTAACTGCCCCATGTTCTGAATCTTTTTATTTTTTAGAAAAGCAGAAAGACAAGAGTAAACTAGAGCAAATCATAACCTGTACTCATGTAATTGCTGCACCTCTCAGTGAGTCTATAATCTGAACTGTTTCACCAGATGGCTTTGTTGCTGAAGCGTTCTCTCTCTCATTTCTGACCAATCACACAAACTTACAAAACATCTGCTTAAAGTTGCATATGCCTTAGGAGTTCTGGGACTGGGATTTCCAGATATGACTCAAACTGCTTAATACTATGCTCAAACAGTAAATCCTGTTACAGGGTTGATCAAAATAGGAGCAATAATTTTGCCATCTGGAATTCAACTGGATGAAGCCAAAGAGAAAAATAAATCTAGGAGTTTAATATCATTATTTATTCTAGATAAGACCCACTTTTCAGGTTCTATAGTCCAAAATAAACCTTTTCAATCAAATAGAAGTTGATAGACTATGACAGTAAAATTGGTGCTACTGCCTGGCCAGTGTTCTCAGAGGTTGAGCATTGACCTTTGCACCAAGAAGTCTCTGGTTTGATACCCAGTCAGGGTACATGCCCAGGTTGTGGGCTTGATCCACAGCAGGGGGCATGTAGGAAGCAGCCGATTGATTATGTTTCTCTCTCAGACAGGTTTCTATCTTCCTCTCCCTTTCCCTTTCTCTCTCTCTCAAATCAATAAAAACATACTTTAAAATAGGTGCCACCATATAATCTAGAACCTTAAAATATTCCCAGTACACAGAAAAACTGATAAAGAACACACTTTTATAATTTAATTAAGAGGTCATCCTTTATGAGACTGAAATAATTGGACTGTTTTAATATTAATATTTCTCTATATTGTTGAAATACATTCCAAAACCTCTCTAAATACTTTAAGAAATATTTGAAGTTGTACTTCAAAGACAAATTAATGATAATAATATACTTCTTCCAGAAAATACAATTTTGGCATATCATTTCCAAATAATGAATAGTTGGGGCAGGGAGGGCTAGAATACTAGAAAGAGGAAATTCAACAGTTTTCCCATGCAATTAATGCTCATACATCATTATTTAGTTGTTACATAGACAGATGCCAAAGCCTTAGTAAGCTACCGATCTTAAACAATCACACTATTCCAAATAAAAAAAAAAAGTTGCACAGTTAATATGTATTATTTTTCTTTCCTGTCACATATATGAATTTGCAGGAAGGTAGATTTGGGGATATGACATATAAAAATTAAAGCAAGACATTTATAATTTGGAATAGTTTATGATTTCTTCTTCTCCTAACTCAGAGTTTCCAATCTTTTCAGAGATAATATTGTTTAGCAACAAACAAACATAAATTACTGTGCAACAAAATGTGGAAGGTGAATGCTTAAGATACTGTAAGCCTCACTCTGCCAGAAAGCCATTCTCTTTTCAGTCCCAATTATAACCACTCTAATAATTCTGAGCACTATTCCAAATGCCTAGAATGCAAATGCTTTTCTATTTCATTACCTACATGGCTATAGAAAAAAAATGAATACAAATGAAGATGCTTAAAAAAAAACAGTGGCAGAAGATTTGATTAAAGCTATGATAAAAATTTGAGAGTCCGCTGGAACAGCATTAACTTCAAGGAAATTATACAACTTTATTGAAGTGATTTATTTTAGGTCTCAGTATCTGATGAGGTATTATTAAAGCCCTAGAAAGAGAAAAATCATCAATTCTACCACATTAAGACTGCACACTTGCTTCAAAGTGTGCACATTCTTTCTCTGGATGAAAGAATTGATGTTTTACCATTATTGATAATCTGTTACCTGATCTAAAAATTAATTTTGAACTTTGGGCACTCAAATCAATCAGTGCTGGAAAGAACTGTCCTGAACTCAGCAGCAGTCATGGATTTAGTCAAATGGTTTACAAAAGACTTTGCTATCACTTCATGAAAAATCAATCTCAGACCAGTTTTGAAAAAGATGTTAATATAGTATTTCTTCTTCTCCCATTTGGAAAAAATATTATAAAAATACATCATAAGAATAAAAATAAAAGAAGTTTCACTCTGAGGATCACCATTCACACTGCTCTAGTAACTACTGTCCCCCAGGAAACCCTTTATTTGAAGATTTCTAAATCATTTTGAAATCCAACATTTATAGATATCCCTTGAACACCACTAACCTTTAAGATATATCAAGAATTAAGAAATTATAGTTTGCATTTCTATGTCAGGCACTGTGCTAAGCACTTGCATGAGCTCTTTCAGTCCTCACTGCAATTCTATGAGGTAGGAGACATAATTATCACTTTACAGATTAGAAAAGTGAGGCTTAGAGAAATTAAATAAGTAGCTCAAGGTGACAAATGCTATGAAGTGGCAGGACAGATCATGGTCTGACTCCTGAACCTATGCCATGAAATATTACATCTTATAATGTATCAAATACATAGAAATGTACCAGGTTTCTACATTGTTTGCAATTTCTCAAATTGTTAATGGGCACTGAATATTTTCAGAGCAAAACACAGTTCACTACTGTAAAATATTAACTTTGGGGCTTAACTTGTATCAGCTCAGTTATCTTAAAAACAGTTTAGTTAATGATGTAGGTACACATCATATTTTTACGCTTTGACTTGTTCAAATGTATATTCTAATCATTTTCACAATGAGTATCAGTTTAAGAATGTAATGGCTCTTTATACTCTTCTTCATTAACAAATCTTGGATTAACCTGTAATTGGAGAAGCTTTTGATTTAAATTTAAAACTTTTGCATGATGGCAAAGACAAATATGCAAAGCAAGAATTCTCCTCACACATTCATAATGGCAAAGACAAATATGCAAAGCAAGAATTCTCCTCACACATTCTCTGCAACCAAAGCACATCAGTAGATATTTAAGCTGGGAACCCATTTTTACCAGAATAGGATAAATTGCTTTGAGTAGCTTTCATAGAACTTTATTTGTGTAACTTTAAAACATGCTACAGTATTTCTGATAAAATAAGAAAAGGAAGTTAGCTTGGAACCAAGTCCTCTCATGTCAAAGTGAATTTCAAATCTTGTTTCATGACAAATAACAAAATAGGAAGGTGTTGGAAATGCAATGGTTAGTCATGTTCATGTTTGCAAATCAATAATGATAAGTCAAATGAGTTAAGCTGACCCCAAATTCAAACACAATATAATGTAAAATTAAAATGTAATAAAAAAACATCATAAAAGAAGTCTGAATATTTGGGGCAACCAAGTAAATCATACCCTTCTTGGGAGCCCTTAGTGGTTATATTGTTTCTTTTTTCAAACTGAATAATCAAACACATGGGTTAAACAACAGACTTAAGTTAGTGGTAGAACTCAGAGACTGGAAAGAGACATTATGCATACTCCTTGCAGCAATACAGTAAGTATTTGATACTATTCATAAGCTGCATCTGAAGAGGCACTCTATGCTAAAATGAATCCAGCCTTCTCACAGGCAATCAGAACTTAGCATGCAAAGGGCAAATCCCTGTAAGGAAGCAAGCAAGAAAGCCCTCTGCTATGAAGTGGCTGCTCATTATCTTTGGAAGCTTAAGGGATTTATACCAATGTCACCAAAATGAAATAAACAATTCCCCCACTACCAATTCTAAGAAAAAAGTTCATTATTTTTAATACATAAAGCTTACTAATAAGATATCCTTAAGGATACTTGACTTTGAATCCTTGATCAACAAAGAATATTACTTTCAATAGTTTAAAGAAGACGGGTGCTCTGTCATCTATGGTGGCTGACTACTTAGTAATTCTATAGATTCCAGACTTCCAAGCACATTATCTCTTTCCTCTTCTAACTTTCTAGGAAGGACACCTATCTGAATCAAGTAATTTAAATATTAAAGCCTTAAACCATACAATTGTCAAGTTTTTAGCTGTTCCTACAAACTACTGTGTTGAATTAAAGAACAGGAAGTCGATTTCCTCAATCACAGGTGTTAGCATTCCATCTGATTTATGCTCCATAGTACTATGGTTTTGCTATAGCTATTCTAAAATAGAACCTGTGGGATTACTAATACATTTTTTGACATAATTATGTAAGTATTTGTTGGTTTGTTTCATAATGCAGTTAAAGGCAAAAAGATAAGACAATCTATGCATTAATGATAGTATGACTGGTTTGGTGTTTGGTAATGGGACTACTAAAAATATATCCCATCTTAAAAACAAGAAAGCACACAAAAATGTTCTATAAAAATAAAGAGTACCCTATGATCTTCATTAATTATATCATTGTTTTAAACCAAAAGATATTCTAATTTGGTTTAGTTTATATTTTTATTAAGAAATGCAAGAGTAATGTTTTAAAACAATGAATAAATTTTAATAATTTATAAGCTATAATTAGAGTCTAAACCTTAAAAGATCAACTTAAAAAGTAGTTCTGACACATGTCATTGAAATTCTCTTTTATCAGCCTACAAGCCTATATATTCTTTTTTCATGTTTTTTCCCATATATTTTCTAGCTTTTACAAAGTTAAAGTTGTTGATTAGCTTAAAAAAAAAATGAAGTCTTTCTAAATGTTCTGTTTCCCCTGAAGCCATTTTGAGCAAAGTGCAACTAAGTAACAGTTTATATTTATTATGTAAGAAATTTTAAAAGAAAAAAAAACATTAATTTTTCACTTGAAGTTACTATTACAGTTCAATTAGGAGCACGGCATCCCAACTAAGATTATTTAAATGATCCAATATACTGAGTAACCCTATATAATATAATGATTAAAATAGTTTGTTGACCTTTTGTGTGACACATAATGTTAAAACTTCCTTTTGAAATGGACTAGCCAAGTTTTCCTGTCTTTTTTTTTTAATGGTTTTATGAAGTTGTGATTATTTTGATTGATGTTATAGTTTTTATAGTTTAAGTGGAATGAACCTCATAAAGTTTATTACAATAAATGTAAATAATCTTATAAATATAAATGAGAAAACCACTTCCTTTTAAGTTATAGTAGGTACTATAATCTCAAGGACGTATGCAGTGTTTGAACTGTCATATTAAAGAAAAAGAACATACATTTAAAGTGAGAGCATGAATCATTCTCTGAAGGGAGTAGGAAAAGGCCATGAGCATGCACCGAACTGAACCTTTGTCCCTGAAGCATTACTATGGGTTTGGGACATTAACTAAGTTAAAGCACATGCTGTCAGTACCTGCCAGAAATCCTGATCAGAAGATGAGAAAAAGAAAAAAAAAATTGACATTGCTTGATTACGTGAGCAAATTCCCATTTTGATTTTATATATATAAATATCATAAAATATAACAAATAAAGGACCAATTAAGAAGATCTGCAATAAAATCACTGAACACCTGGAAATAGAAAATGAGATCCAATCTGCTAGGTACAATAAAACAAAAAGCAAAAATCCCAATAACTTAATCTAACCTCCTAAAAGTGAAACACAATTGTAGAAAAACTTCCTATTATAATACTATAAAAAGCACAAAAGGGAAAGCAAACACTTCTTTTCTTCATGGATAGTCAAACCATTTCTTTAAGGTTTTCCATTTGGATGTCTATCACCTTATGGATATAATATTTTTGAGCTTTAAGGCAAATTAATTGCTTTACCATCCATACTAACATATAGGCAAACAAACTCAAATAAGTTCAGAGAATTAGACATTACCCTAAGGATCAGTTTAGATCTCCTGCAAATTATGTTGCATTAAATAAAGTATTATTCACATGCCATCTAGAAGATTTGATGAAGCAATTTAGGTTCGCTAATTTAGCTGAGTATCCCTCTAAAATATCTTCAAATATCAAATAATTTAAAAGGTTTTTTTTCAATACATAAACTTCACTGGCTGTGAAAAAAAATTTGACCTAAACTTATCATACTTGTTAAACCAAGCTTAGTAGCATGAAAAAAATTCTCGACTAAAAAAACATTAGCTTTTAGCAATTTACAAGCTTAAGGCTAGGTTTGGTATGACAGGGGTGAGATGAATCACTGTAAATACAGGACAGTACTGAAACGAGAAATCAAACTAGAGATCTCTCTTCAGTTCATGGACTAATTATTTAATCCCAGCCAATATGGACTGGTATTACAGAGATAGCACAAGTAGATTTTTTATACCCTAACAGGGAAGGAAAGAACCAAGGAGAGAGTAATTATGCACAGGGAATGCTATTCTGTTGCATTTCATACAAACCAAGAAAGAAGATTATATATATTATCATATATATGATAACCAACTCCATTCATAGATTGAATAAAATTCTCAAAGTTGTGCAAAGTAGCTAACTTTGTAGAGCCAGGTACTTTACCCATTGTCCTGAGTTCAGTGGGAAGGTAACTGACACTGAGAGAGGGTGGGTAGTAAACGGTTTCTTGCTGAAGGTAACCCATCAATTATATGGCAGAGTCCATATTTGAACACAGGATGGTCTATATCCAAAGTCCCACTGTTTTCACCCTGTGCTATTTACTATCCACTGAGATCAGCATTCCATAATGTATTTTTTCATCCTCAAATCAGCATACTGTAACATCACTTACTCATTTACATTTAGTAAATATTGAGATTCTCAAGATGGAAATCCCTTGGAAAATATTTCAGACATTAAAGCCAGATTTTCTTAGGGTCGTGGTGTGTACAAAAGAACTACAATTGCTAATTTGTAAGAAGAGAGAAAAATTAGAAACTGTTTTAAAATAATTTAAAGACCTTGTATGATAAAGAGGAAGAGGAAAAAATCTGAGACTTAAAAGAGAAAATTGCAGCAGGTATCAAAGGATTCTTGAAATGCTGAGTCAGTTTCTGCATTCACTGTTAATATAATTACTTTCTAAACTTCTGCTTATCTAAACACAGACTCTAATGAGTAATGGTGCTACAACTGACACACAACTAATCAATATTTGAAAGAGCAACACTTCAGAATTCATAAGAACATCATAACCGGCTATATAAAGTTGAGCAGCAGTTCAAGTAAATGTAAAGATTTATCAAATTTTGTCTCATAAGAATTTCAGTCTACTCTGTCCTAATTTACATTTTTTTGATCCGCACTCGTTTTCACTCTTAGAAGACAGGGAATCCCTTCTATAACTTACTATATGCGTCAAGGAATAATACTATACTTGACCTTATGCCAGACTCATGTTTTATCTTGATATGAAGCAAATAATCACAACTTGAATAAAGAACTAAGAGGAAAATGTGTGCACACACTCCCCTTTGGGAATTAAGACTTACCCCTAATGGGTACAGCCTTTTAAAGTTCATTTATTAACATTTCAAAAATAACTTTTACCTAGTAAGCAATTAAAAGCATTCAGTAATATTAAAACTTAGATTATTAACTGTGGCTCTCATTTCCCCCCCTGCTTATTATTGTTTCTGTTATAAACACTATAATCAGTATTTCCCTTTATAGCCTTTAACCATACTTTTATTTCTTTTATCTAAATGTGGACAATTTTAATTTGATATAATTTTCCTGTTCCATGTGGACAAATAATCTAGTATAAATCAAATCACAAAGAAGATAGAAATAAAATACTAGTTAATTCTTCTAAATTAAAGAAATTCTAAGGAGGCTGTAATTACAAATATTAAATAATCTCAATCTGGTGGCATCATTTCTGGAATATTCAGGAGAGTTGGGCTAAAAAGGGAACTTGATAAGGAGGAAAAAATAAAAAATATACTTTCTAAAAAAGAAATACAAGGTGGAACAATAATGGGCAATTAGTTTCGATGAACAATTACTTGTTACCTGAAAAAAAGAGGGTGAATTTAATGTTTTTAGATGAGAGAAGAGGATTACATTAAAACCCTGGAATATTGATTGGTATTCTTAGCTAAAGAAACAATTTTGCGTAGATGTTGAAGTTTCCTAGTGTAACTTAAAAAAACAACAACAACAACACACACACACACACACACACACACACAAAAACTATGGTGATATCTGATATAGAGAGTTGTCTTTTATATGCAATAGAAATATTTCATAATTTCCATATTTGGTATGCTGAGAGAGAAAAAAGGAGGTAAGAGAATCTGGAAAAGGGAAAGTACAAACCGCACGAATAAAAGACAATTACTAAATGATTAAATGAGAGAAATATTTGACAATTATATAATATAAAGGCTCCATTTAGAAATATACTTTTTTTCCCCCCCATAGGCCAATTATTAGATGATAAAAATTAACCCAGAAAAAGTAGTTTTCATTAAAGAAATAATTCAAAATTCATGAAATAATTGCATTAACAAAAGTACAATGTATGAACATTGTGCATTGCTGGGGGAGAAGGGTTTTTGTTTTTTTAAATCTAAACAAAACAAAAGCCAGACCATATTTTATAGTATACCATCTGCATAATGGTGTTGATATGCTATTTATAATGATTTTAAAATATCCTTTAATAAAATATGAACTCTTTCTAGGTTTGAGATTTTTAATCTTTTAAATCTAGTCTGAATATTTTAAAAATATCACTTATCTACAAAATATATTCTTAAAGGCCATTGACTATAGCTTCTTTATACATAGTCTGTGTTAGCAGATAGTTTTGAAATGCATAAATGATGCAAATGCCAATAATAATTTTGTATTTTTATTTCATGACTTTTGTACAAAGGAAATTGCCAGTATCCTTAGAGTAAGGGTACATTAACATAAGGTAGTGATGGGCTCTGGAAGATAATCCTCCCCAAAATTCAAAAGCCATTACATCAAATTCACTTTCAATGGCTATCAGTTGAAACCAGAATGTTTTATTTACATCTTACGGGAATTCTATTTATTTCTAGTCAAACAGAATAGGAGAAAAGAGGACAGGTATTAAAGAAATAACTATCCAGCCCTATCCGGTTTGGCTCAGTGCATAGAGCATCAGCCTGTGGACTGAAGTGTCCCAGGTTCGATTCTGGTCAAGGGCATATACCTTGGTTGCAGGCACATCCTCAGTAGGGGGTGTACAGGAGGCAGCTGATTGATGTTTCTCTCTCATTGATGTTTCTAACTCTCTGTCCCTCTCCCTTCCTCCCTGTAAAAAAAAAAAATAAAAAAAATAAAAAGAATAACTATCCAATTATTTGTCAATATCAGTTGTACCATTCTTTTCTTCTTTGCTTTTGGAGACTGTACGAAATTCAAGTATAAGTGAGAAGAGAACCCAGGAAAATAATACTATTTCTACATTTGCCTAATTTCAATGACAAAAAGGCTAAGGTGCAATTCAATTAGAAGCTAGTGCTTCTTACTGGTCAAAAGTTAAAACAAAGGGAAATAAGAGAATGAGGGTCAATATTCTTTCTCTAAGCAGTTCATAACTAGTTTATCTTCCAAGTTAAAAAATAAAAAAAAGGGAGAAGCTGAAACCGGTTTGGCTCAGTGGATAGAGCATCGGCCTGTGGACTGAAAGGTCCCAGGTTTGATTCCGGTCAAGGGCATGTACCTTGGTTGCGGGCACATCCCCAGTAGGAGGTGTACAAGAGACAGCTGATTGATGATTCTCTCACATCGATGTTTCTAACTCTCTATCCCTCTCTCTTCCCCTCTGTAAAAAAATCAATAAAATATATATTTTTTAAAAAAGGGAGAAAACAATCCATTTAAAAATCAAAGCAAATTTAAAAAGAAATTCCTCTAGAGTCTAGACAGTGGTTGGCAAACTCATTAGCCAAATATCAACAGTACAACGATTGAAATTTCTTTTGAGAGCCAAATTTTTTAAACTTAAACTTCTCCTAATGCCACTTCTTCAAAATAGACTCGCTCAGGCCATGGTATTTTGTGGAAGAGCCACACTCAAGGGGCCAAAAAGCCGCATGTGGCTCGCGAGCCCCCGTTTGCCGACCACGGATGTAGGATGTTAGATTTCTACTAAATTTCTGGCTATCATGTATGAAATTTACTAATTACCACACGAATCTGTTTTGGTTTCCCCCCCCCCCAAGTATTCAATAATTGTTTTAGGATTTACAATATATACTCTAGAAACTGCTACTTAAGAATTAAGATTTCCTGATTGAGACAACAAAAGAGTCATGAAGATGCAAAGGAAAATAAATAAGAAGACTGATAGTTAAATCAGTGTTGATTCTTATGGTGATTAAGCAAAGACTTTTATGCATGGCAAAAATCCCTCAAAAACCTCTAAAGTAATTAAACAATAAGTTTTGCACTCTTCATTATAATTAAGGCTTGAAAACAGTACCAAAACTACTTTCTTAGCTTCATCTGAAATAAAAGATAATTCATAAATTTACTGTTCAAATTGCACATATTCAACTTTTTGCATGTTTTCAGGTTTAGTATATACAATAGAGAATTGAATTCTCATACTACTCTGGATTCTTTCAGTGACCAAAACAGTGATTTGTTAAAATGATTTTGCTATAAGATACCAATGACTTAGTGAGTCATACCTCCAAGAAATATGCATTGACCAGCTGATTTTTCCCAAGTCATCGAACATTTACTGGCCACCTCCTGTATGCCATGCATATGTTGGACTCTCAGTGACACAAAAACAGAAGAGCCAGGGGCCCAACTTGCCAGACAGTCTGCAAATAACCGCTAACATAAATAAAGCAGACACCAAGGATCAGAGGGAAGATGTGGCTGTCACAAAGCAGAGCTAGGCTCTAAACCTGGGTCTCCTAACAAAAAGTTTAATGCCTTTTCTTTTTTAAAATCACTGTTTCTCTTAGATTATGTGACTTTAAAAAGAAGATACAGATGGAAGCACTGTGCCACCTGAATAAGAAAGGTAATTTTTAGGATGGAAGCCTTGGCTGAAATCTCTCAATTATTAAGTCAGCCACTCATTATTTCCACTTGCACAAAAGACCTTAGCACTTATATCTTCACCTTACCAGAATGTAGAGTTTACATAATGAAGCAGAATGGACACCTTCCTACAAGATCAGTTGCTATTAACCCTGACCTCTACCATCTAGACCCTCTTTTGTCATCCTGCCTTTTGCAGACACTGCATAATTTTCCTCCTGATTTCCTTCTCTTTATGCTTTGCAGAACCACTCCTGGCTCTTTCTTCTTTCTTCCTCCTCTTTAAAATTGACCTTTTACGTTTCTTTCTGACCCTGCGTAATATGTTCTTTCTCTTTTTGTAGAATTTAGCCTGAAAGGGAAAAACATGTTTAACTAACTGCTTTGAGATAATAAAATCAAGTTTCATTTTCTATACTAAAGAATGATTTATTATAAATGATTTATTCCAGGCATAAAGAATTGAAAGTAAGTATAATGCAAACACATGTAAATTTGGGGTCTTCATAACTATTATAAAAGCACTAGGAAGGACTTCCCTAATTTTCTTATATACTATCATAGTTTGAAGAAGGTCAAATCAGATAGGAGTTTCTAAAATAATGCAATATTTGGGGCTTGTTAACTTTTGTGGCTTTTGAATTAAAGCTCAAATGTCAACATACACTGAATTAGCCCTTAATATAAACAGCAGGCAGTCCACGAGTGTTACCTTGTGTGGATAAAGACAGAAGAAGCTTCTGCTTGGCTCTTCCCGTAGAAGCTTCTGAAGGCACTTACAGGCCTCCAAACCTAAGCAACACTCTTTTATGATAAGATAAACATGTATTCAGAAACCCCTCACAAATAATACTGGAAGAACTTTAAAATATTTTTAGTAAACAAGATATACACATGCCATAGTTTGCTCACCTTTCCGTCAAATCGTTTTATTATATATTGATCCAGGCCCAAGTCTGTAAAAGAGAAAAAAACAATTCAATCAACTCAAATGAAACAGGAAATGACAGCTCTCAGTTTTGTTTCCAATCATTCAATTATTAAATGTACTAGATGGTTTAGCTACAATATTATTCCAAGGTAACAATAACAAAAATTTTGTCCCACTTTCAGACTCAAAGTGTAACTCAAAGTGTAAGATACCAACATTTTACTTACATAGGAGAAGTGAGGCTCTGAGAGGATAAAGAGGGTAAAGGTTTGTGTGCAAACCTATTCAACAGCAGAGCCAAACCAGAATCCAGGACTCTTCTCAGGGTGATGCTCTTTTCATTACATCAAAGTACTAATTACCTCTAACTAAACTGAGGGACATTAGGTTAATCTGAATACATACTTTTTTTTTTGGATCAAGTTAAAGAAAGATAAGTTTAATATTAAAAGGAATTTTTGTAACACATATAAACAGATACAAATAGACCATCTTAATATTACCTTTTAAAATTGGATTAAATAATAAATATTTACCCTGGAAATACGTAGCTTTAAGCACTGTGAAAGATATAAATAAATATATTAAGTGCCCTTGAAGGCAGGTATTTTTTTGTCTTTGCCTACTTCTTTATCTCAAGAATAGTGCTTGATCAATAAATAGTGCTTGATCAAAGAATAGTGCTATTAACAAATGAATAAAAAATTTAGAAAGACATATATGCATATAATAATTAACATTATCAGGGAACATACAATTAACCCAGTAAGAGCATGCTGTGGAAGTTTTTAGAGGGGAGAAGTTGGTTCCCAATTATGTTTACTTTTTCTTGCATAATTACTTAGTTCTTTTCTTTCAGTTCTTACAGTATTCATTCTAGCTAAGGCCTTATCTCCCTATGCCCAGAGTACAACAAAGATTTGATTATCATCCCTCCCAGAGGAAATTTTTTGTACTTCTGTTTCCACACATTTGTTTATACATTCTCTTTATCTAAAACTGGAGGCCCGATGCACGAAATTCATGCAAGGGGCTCAGCCCCACTGCCACGGCAGCTACCTCTGCCCCCACCCACTCACCACTGCTGCCACCTCTGCCTCAGCCCCCGTGGCTTTGTCTGAAAGGACATCTGATCTAATTAGCATATTATGTATTTATTATTATAGATGTGCTTCACTTTCTAGACACCCATCATAACAAAATGAACCACTGACTGCAAAAGAAAGGATAAATCAGGAAACATTTAAAAACAAATCTAATCTGAAATCTCTGATATTCAAAAAGATATCAGTCACAGGAGCATGCTTCATTTTATTTTTTCATGGTGTGGGGCTGGGACCCCTCATTGCTCATGGGGGAATTCTGCAGCCAAGATATCTCTCCCAATTTTTAATGGCCACAAATGGGTGTGATACCAGCCTGGTCTGCTTCTCCATCCCCCTACCAGTTTCGAAATGGCTTCTTCTGTATATCCTTAGTTATAGGAATTCTGTTCAGCTAGTCTTCAGGTGGTTCTCAGTGATGCTTGTTCTATATTTTAGTTATAATTCTGATATGGTCATGGGATGAGGTGAGAACAGTGTTTACCTAATCTGCTATCTTAACCGGAACCACACCTTTAATTTCTCTGTATGGCTTTGAGTTACTGTCCAGTATCTTTTCATTTCAGACTAAAGGACTCCATTTGGTACTTCCTGAAGGGAAGGTCTATTATTAACAAACTTCCTCAGCTTTTAATCATCTGGAACTGTCTTAACAACATTATGCATACGTTGTCACATTTGAAGGCGTTACACAAGGCTCAGTTGATTTTTACTCATACTTTTTGTTTTCTGTTCCTCAGACACAATAATACCTTGATGTATCTTCAAGTTAACTGATTTTTTTTATCTGCCTGCTCATATTTGATGTTGAACTCTTATAGAGATTTTTTAAATTGCAGCTATTGTACTTTTTAACTAAAGAATTTCTATTTTGTTCCTTTTAAAATTTTCTATTTCTTTTTTTTTTAATATATATTTTATTGATTTTTTACAGAGAGGAAGGGAGAGAGATAGAGAGCTAGAAACGTCTATGAGAGAGAAACATCGACCAGCTGCCTCTTGCACACCCCCTACTGGGGATGTGCCCACAACCAATGTACATGCCCTTGATCGGAATTGAACCTGGGACCTTTCAGTCTGCAGACCGATGCTCTACCACTGAGCCAAACCGGTTTCGGCAAATTTTCTATTTCTTTATGGATAGTCTCTTTTTATCAACACACGATCTTCTTGTTTCCTACAGTTCTTTGTCTATGGCTTTCTCTTTGAGCATATTTAAGATAATTGATTTAGTCTTTGTAAAGTAAGGGCAATGCCTAGTTGGCTTTCTCATGGGATGTTTCCTTAAAAAAAAAAAATTTTTTTTTCTGGTAACAGGTCATATATTCCTGATCACTGGACTGTCATGTAATTTTTTTAAATTTAAAATTGGGTATTCTTAATATTATAATGTGGCAATTCAAGAAATAAAATTCTTTCTGGATCCCAGGGTTTGGTGTTGTAACTCACGCCATCAATTTGCAAATTATTTTTGCAAAGACTGTATCCCTTATCATGTGTCACCACTGAAGTTTCTTTTCTATCTAAGCAAATGACCTGATTAAAGAGAATTAAAGAGAATTCCTAAAATGTTGGCAGCAAAATAACTAAAAAACAAAACAAAAAACCCCTAACTCTTCTACTATATGCAGACTGGCTCTGAGCTGGGCTCTCCTTTTATATTCAGCTAGAAATTTAACAACTCTACCGTAACTTTCACCTCCTTCCAGAGAGCCCAAAAATCAACAAGAGGAACAAGCCCACTCACGTCTTTCCAAGCACGTGCCTGGCTCTGAGCGCAGATTGCTCTCTGGATTCCCCTGTGCAGCAGCCCCTCAAAGCTCTTCTCCCCTGACATGTCCTCCTCCTCAGTGTCCTCTTTTCTCGGCTTTTCAGTCTGTCTGCTGCTTGTCCCATCTGCCCTCTCTTAGCCTGGGTGCTGCAGGTAGTGGTAGTGTATGTATTAATTTTTTCCAGTGGATGACAAGTGGGAAACCACTCCAGTTTGAGGTGAGTGACAGAAAGGCTAAGCCTTTGCGCTGCTCCCTCAGGGAGCAAAAGGCCACAACACTTTTTACCAAAATTTAGCAGCCTCTTTCTTCATTAAGCACTCCCTGATTGCTGAAAGTTTTTATTAGATTCCAGAGGTCCACTATAGTTACTGCTGTCCTTTTTTGGCAGCTTAATTGTTGCATCAGTGAAATTCTTAGAGCTCTCAACTCTGTAATTTCCCCCAAATATATTTGTAAATTGTTACATTTAACTTAATGTTAAGCCATTTATTTTCTTTCATCGCACATTGTTTGTTCAAGCTGTTTCCTCTATACGAGACATCCTTTCCCCTACTCGTTGAGCATATTTAAGATAGCTGATTTAATGTCTCTGTGAAGTAAATACAATGCCTAGACAGGCTTTTATCCAAACTCAGATGCATTCTCTAGAAATCATTCTCCCACCTTTCAGATTTAACTAAGTGCTCCTTGTTTATATTGCCACAGCATCATCCTTCTTTAACAAGTCACTACATTCTTGAAATTTTTCATTACTGTCTCTATCTCCCTCACTAAGGAGCAACGTGATTGCAGTCACATTGTAATGCATTGCCTTCAGGAACATTCTCATTACAGGCAATGAACCTCAGCCAGAGGAGTGAGTACACTTTAACCTGGCTGAGGATTGCCACATCAGACTGTAGGCTCCTCTTCTGTACTCCCAAAGCCTAGCAGGATGCCTGACATATAGTAGCTACCTATGTGTAATTATTGCATGGACCTATAAAGGTTAGGCAATACACAGAAAGAAACAAAAAGAAATATCACAATCTCATTTTTCACATTAACAACTTACGTTCCGGTTGCTTTTCATTGGGTGTGATGGAGCGCACAAAATCTTGTGGAGTCATAAACACTTCAGATTCACCATGCTCACTGATTACTTTCAAGGTGGCAAAATATCGGAAGATTTTGTCTGGTGTAGAATATGCTCTAATCCTATTCTCATATTCCATTACCTAAAATTAGAAATCCAGGGTGTTATTATTAAGCAGTTTTCATTTTCATACATTTTGTATCTTATTTTTAGGGAACTTTAAATTATATCACCTTTTTTCTATTACTAGATTTTTAAAATGTTAGAAATAAACTTTAATTTCAAAAACTTTTGAACTACTTTCTTTCAATATACCTTTCATACTTCATTTGAGGTAATTTGTGTAATGTCTGTTTAGAAATTTTTGAAGAATTTTCTTATTTTTTAAATCATTGAAAACTAGCAAAATTGAAAAATGTCATACAAGAATTCAAAACATCTTAGTAACAGGGTATAATGCCATATATATGGTAGCCTAAACGTTCTTTATTACCAAGTCTTTAAAAAGGAATACATTTCCTGTTTTTACGGCTATGAAATTTCCTGAATCCTAAAACAAAACAGACTTGGGACTTCATAGGTTTGAACAGCTAATAGTCTTTCAAATACAAAGTACATAAAATGATAGCATAAAAATAGTAAAGTTACATACCATGGAAACTCAACTATTAACAGGTCTCAAACAATAAGACTTACACTTTTTCTATAAAATTAAGCAAACTGCCAGCGATCCTCTATTTATAACATATTTAGAAAAGAGCAGACTTGGGAAGAGCACAAGCAAATATTTGAATAGGAACAAAATCACAAAAGATCAGAATGTTAATATAAAAACTCATTTCCTTATCTGGGATCCCAACCCCCATTCGTGCATGGGACATACAAAATCTTCTGCATAGCACTTTTTTTTTACAAATTCTGGTATGAGAGAAATCTTTTCCATCAAAATACCAAATACATAGTAATACTTGGGTGAAGAGATTTCTCTCAGACCTGAATTTTATATGTTGAGATAGTTAACAATAAATAGTATCTTATAAATAATTGTTAGAAAATGTGTCAAGACAATACGATCTAAAATCCCATCAGTTCATTGTCTAAAAAGCAATACATAATATTAAGGTAAACACTGTTAATGTTTTTAATTTGCCATATTAACACAGCCATTACTATAACTGTCAGTCCTGGTTAGATGGCCACTTTGAGGTCACTTATAGCAGCTGTTTGACAATGGTTTTAATTCCACTGCCAGATGTGCTTTCAGCAACTATGAAAGGATTGCTAATTTGTAACTATACATGACAAGTCTTCCTATTGCTAATTTTCATAAAAATCTAAATATTAATTTCAGAGATTTTGTAAAAAGATTTGGCATGTGGCACACACACTAAGGAGCTTTTCGATCCCTTAGTGACCTTAAGACTTAGCCAAAAGTCTTAAATCAAAGGCATTCTATATTATACTACAACTATCTGCTGGCTAATACTAGCTACAGAATAAACTACTTTTTAGGCCCTCTATATGTTTGTTTTTCTGAGTAACAACAACAAAATAATCAGTTTGTAACATTTAAGATGTAAGTTGTAGCTACTGCTAAAGATGGCTTTGTGAACCAAAAATAGTTGAGTCAATCATACAAAGGTAGAAAGAAAACTTAAAGTTAATAATTTTCAGACTGAAAATCATATTCCTTGGTTGTTACAATATCACTAAATTATGCTGCTTAATATTATTAATGTTTTAGTTTAAAACAATAGGTCAAGGAAAGTAATACACTTTTTTTCATTCCTGTATTGGTAGAGTTTCATGTAGACATACTATATAGTTTGTATTTTGGCTTTTTTTCCACTTAGCAGTGTTAACTTGGAGATCACTAGAACTTCCTCCTTTTAAGTAAGTGGTCATGTTAAAAGGAGCACTAACAATAAAGGGTTCAGAATACAGCAGCCACTCTTTCTAAAAAGCAATGGAAAAAGCATCCTTGGGTGAAGATTAACAACAAAACAAAAATAAAATTACCATATGATCCAGCAGTTTTATTTTTGGGTACATATACTAATACAAAAGAATGGGAAGTGGAATATCACAGAGATATCTATTGTATATACTCATGGTCATAGCAGCATTGTTCACAAGAGCTAAAATATGAAAGCAACCCAAGTGTCCATGAATGGATAACTAGATGAGCAATGTGTAGAATTCATATACAACAGAATATTATTCAGCCCTAAAAATGTAAGAAAATTCAAATATATGCTTCAACATGAACCACCTTGAAAACATTATAGTAAGCGCAATAAGCCAGTCCCCGAAAAATGAAAATACTATATGCTTCCATTTGTATGACATTCTTTTAGTATTCAAAATCATAGTGATAGGAAATAAAATGGTGGTTTCCAGGGCTGGGAGAAAGGGATAGTAAGGAGTTGTTATTTAATAGGTGTATATTTTTAATATTTTATAATATGAAAACAGTTATGGAGATGAATGAAAGTGATGGTTGTACACTGCTATATACTCTTTTCAATATGTATTGAATATCACTAACCTGTATACTTAGGATGGTTAAGATGGTAAATACTATGTTATATGTATTTTATCACAATAAAAAAAATTGAAAGAAAAGAGAGACCCTGGAGGAGTGGGAAAACAACTAATGAGAATATAAAAGTGCAGTTAAAAGATACAAACGATAGGTTCTTTTAAATCCAAGTGAAGTTCCAAAAGCAAGAAATGACAGTGAAGCAATATTGAGGCGATGTCTGAGAATTTTTCAGAATTGAGGACTTGAATTTCAGAAGGGATAAAAAAAATTTTAAAAATTAAAAAGAAAACAAAACAAAATGAGATAAGCATGCACAAACCAACAAAAACTGCATTCACAAATTAAGTGATATGATTTTGGTATTTTAAACCTGTGAATTTTTAAAAATTATTATTAAAAATTTTTTTTAAATTATTTTATTTAAACACAGGCCATGCATGGGAATAGATAGTAAACTCAGGACACTGTTTTGGCTCTGACTTGGAAGAGAGAAAAATGGGACTAACAAGAGTATACAGCCATGTGTATTTTATATTAATTTCATGTATTAAAAAGAAAACACAAAACTGAAGTCCTAGCCAGGTGGCTCAGTTGGTTGAAGCATCATCCTGTACACCAAAATGTTGTGGGTTTGATTCCCAGTTGGGTGTGTGCAGGAGGCCACCGATCAATGTTTCTCCCTCATCCATATTTTCCTCTCTCTCAAAAATCAATAAAAACACTTCCTTAGGTGAGGATTAAAAATAATAACTGAAGCAAATATAGGAGAATGTTAAAATGACAAAACAAGTGTTGGGTACATGTATGTTCATTTTAGTAGTCTTTATTTTCTTGGGTATTTGAAGTATTACATGATAATCAAGAGAACATAAAGGAACAAAAGTAAAACGTTTAAAAGAAAACGGAGGATGTCAAAAATAGCATGTAGATACTGGAGCAATTTGGTATTACAGGGAAAGAATGTAAATGGAATGTAGCTAGAAAAAAACTGATCATAAGTACAGTTTATTATTTAATTAAAGATAGAAAAATCTTTAATGTGACTATGTAGGTAGACTATGTAAAAAACACACACAAAGAGTAACTGGAAAAAAACAGCATAAAAAAAGAATAAGTGTTGACAAAAGTTCTTGGTGAGACAAGATAACATGGAATGATTATGCTTCAACAGAAAAAAATAGCTCTTTCACTGAGACTTCAGTGAAAGAAAACAGAATTATTTCAAACAGAGACAAGAAAGGTTTTTATAGGTACGGAGTTAAAAATTAGTTACATCGATAGCTTTCACTTTTTCTGACGTATGAGATATATGGTCATCCGTTGAGCAGACAGCGGAAGTAAAAAGTGGAAAGTTCAAAATAAATGCTTATATGGATCATTTTAGCTCTACTTTGTAAAAGTTTAAGTCTAAATGAAACTACTGGAGTAAGAAAAATTTGAACTTTCCTTGAATTCACGCAGGGCAAAAGATTTAAATAAATGTATCATGGAAACACTAGGATAGTTGACAATTAACTTATAATACATAGCTTTTGTTCAAATTCACCTAAGAAATGAATTTAGGAAATGAGAAGACTTATTTAATAACTTCATCCAAACAGATAAACAGAAAATCCAAATTTCTAAAAGAAATTCTTCTTGCAAATATGTACACACACCTCCCCCCCACATACATTCTACATAAATAAGTCAAATTATCTTCTTGCATTGATTAGGTATGTTTTAGCAAGAGAAGGCAATTTCCTGTATTTTAATGTTAACATGCAAAATAGCTAATAAATTCACCCTGTTGACTTTTCATCACTCATGTCTGCTGAATTCAAATGTCCAATATCATAGGCATTGTTACAGTGAAACTGAAACTTTTCTGAGAAAAGGCATAGCACAGCAGGTTGTGTTAAACATATAGAATGTTGAAGTCATTTGAAGTTTATGCTGTCTTCAAATTTATTTGATTTTCTGGAAATATCTGTTTACTTTCCAAGATATTTTATTCTACCTTTACAACTTGACATAATAAATCTGTATTACCACAAGGACTCAATTAGCATACACAAGAACGTACAACATCAGAAAGATCCAGAATGCAAGATCAATGTTAGGTAGCTAAATTAAAAGAAGGAAGAAAATATATTCTAATCATGATTAGTAATCTTAGATCCTTTTCCTAACTCTATTAACTTTACATTTCAAGAGTATGTTTGCCTTAAAACATGATAGAAAATAGTGAAGAGGTGAATAACTTCAAAGTAAATATGAACCATCTAAAATATATCATAAAATAGACTCAACTGCATTATTCGAATCTTGGATTAACTATAGTTCTGATTCATTTATAAAACTGTGTTTCATACTTTTCTGTCTCTGAATCCAGAACGTTTTTTCTTTTTCTCTTCCGAATGAAACTCAGGACAAGTATCTTCAGCCTTTTTTCCATGGTTATAAACTTCCTCTTCATCTTTATTCTTTCCTTTATCACCAACTTCACTCTTTAGGTTGTTTACAGATGGTGGAGATTCTGCAAGGGCTCTAGATTAAATAAACAAATAAATAAATAAACACACATACACACACACACACACACACACACACACATTAATCATGAAAGTCCATCATATTAGCCAAATAAAGATTTTCAGATACATCTTAGGAGGAGCAATAGCAATGAAATTTGTAAAAAGTTTACATGGAGAAATTCCTCAAAAAAATTAAAAATAGGACTACCATATGATCCAGAAATCTCAATCTGGTTATATAGCCAAAAGAACTGAAAACAGTGTAATAAGAAATTTTTTTTCACAGTCATGTCAATAGCAGCATAATTCACAGTATCTAAAATATGGAAGCAACCCAAATGTTTACTGACAGATGAATGGATAAAGAAAACGTGGCATATATATATAGAATATCCAGCCTTAAAAGTAAAGAATATGGCAAAAGCACAGGCAACACCTGGAATGGAAGCAAAACTAGACAAGCAGGACTACGTGAAACTAAAACGCTGCGGCACAGCAAGGAAACAATCAACAAAATGAAAAGGCAATACCCAAAATGGAAGAAAGTATTAGCAAACCATATACTTTATAATAAAGGGTTAATATTAAAAATATATAGGGAGCTTTACAACAACAACAAAAAAGCAAATAACTCATTAATATATGAGCAAAGGAACTAATAGACATTTCTCAAAAGAAGATGCACAAGTGGCAGACATATACATGAAGAGGTGCTCAGCATCAATAATCATCAGAAAAATACAAAGCAAAACTGCAACAAGATATTACCTCACTTTATAGAATAGTTTTATAAACAAACCACAGATAACAAGTATAGGTAAAAATGTAGAGAAAAGGGATCTTGATATGCTGTAGGTAAAATGTAAATTAATACAAATACTATGGAAAACAGTATGTTGGATCTGCAAAAAGCTAACAATAGAACCACCATATGATTCAGCAATCTCACTTTTAGGTATATAGCCAAATAAATTGAAATCAGGATCACAAAGAGATATACATTCTCATGATCACTACAGCATTATTCACAGTAAACAATACATGTCTATCAATCTACAAATAAAGAAAATGTGGTATATATATACAATGAAATATTATTCCGTGTTAAAAAAAGAATAAACTCCTGTTATTTGTGACAACAAAGATGAATCTAGAGAACATTATGCTAAGTAAAATAAGCCAGACACAGAAGGACAAACACTACATTATACCACTTATACCTATAATGAATATAAAACAACCAATCTTAGAGGCAGAGAGAGAAATGGTGGCTTCCAAGGAATGGGGAAGGGGGGATTTGCAAGCCATGGGAGATTTTTATAACATACTAGTAGAGTGTGGTGATGAGTCACAGATGTATACTTATCTCCAACTCATCAAGTTGTAAAAATTAATTATATAAAAATTTTTAAAAGGAAAATCAGCAAAATAGAAAATAATATATGATTGCACTTATATGAGGAATAGAGAGTAATCAAATTCATAGAGACACAAAACAGATGGTGGCCAGAGACAAGAAGGAGGGAGGAATTGGGAAGCTTATTTTAATAGGTATAGATTTTAAATTTGGAAAGATGAAAAATTTCTGGAGATGGATGGTGATGGTGGCACAATCATGTGAATCTATTTAATATCACAGAACTTAAAAATATCTAAAATGGTATGTTTTATGGTATGTATATTTAACCACAAAAATGGGATACTTGGATATAAAAAGGCTACTAACTTAAAAAAAGTAAAATCAAAGATAAAGCTAAAAGCAATGGAATGACATACTTAAAACACCCGGATGAAAGAAGTCTATATCCAATGAAAATAACCTTCAAAAATGAAAGCAAAATTAAGCATTTCCAGACAAAAGCTGACAAGATCCAACCCCAGTGAACAATCTCTTAGTAAATGAAGTACTTTAGGCTGAACAAGAATGATATTAGAGTCCAACCGGTGTGGCTCAGTGGTTGAGTGTCAATCTATGAAACAGTAGGTCACAGTTTGATTTCTGGTCAGGGCTTGTGCGTGTGTTACTGGCTCCATCCCCAGCAGGGGGTGTGTAGGAGGCAAACAATCAATGATTCTCTCTCATCATTGATGTTTCTGTCTCTCCCTCCTCCTCTCCCTTCCTCTCTGAAATTGACTAAAAAACAAACAAACAAACAAAACAAAAAAGAATATTAGATTTAACCAATTTGACCCCATATATTCAGATTCCAAACTCTAAATTCTTACTACTATATCTCTGTATCTTTTTGAGATTGTGAGAAAATAAAAACAAAGTAAAAATGTCACAAGTAATCTCTAAAAGTACTCTAATATGGTTTCTAAGGATTATATTTAAGTTAATTCATGTTAGTGAATTTAGGTAGTACATCTAGTCTTTATATATATTTAACTATATATCCCAGAACACATTTATTTTTGTTTGCCAGCAAACATTTCAAATTATATACTCTGTTATCGACCTATATATTTCAAAGCTATCTATCTCAACATACACTGAACATATAACATTTATTTTATGTTAAGGAAAAGAGAATGGGCCTGAAAAAAGATTTTTATTCTTTACTTCTGTGTTTGACTTTATTTAAACCAAATACGTTGTTCTTATGTAATTTAAATTTATGAATTTTAAAGTTTGAAAATTTTAAAATAAATATATAGTACCTTTTTCTTTTTCTTTTTTAAACCACATATAAATTATTTTATTGTTTCACATATACTTCCAGATCTAAAGGACACTAACATTCCCCCATATCTGGGAGCAAGCTATCAATACGGGAACTCTTTCCCATATAGACAGCCACTCTGGAACACAGTCAGCATCTTCCACTTTCTCAAAGTCACAGGAAGAAGTCTGTACAGCAAGAGCAAGGAAAATGACAAAGTAAATTGGTCCTTCTACTGGCATTAAAATTATTTTCTGGCCTACAGTCTCATTATTTTTGTTGTTATTAGTCCTCACCTGAGGATATGTTTCCATGGATTTTCTTAGAGAGAGTGGGAGGGAGGGAAACATCAGTGAGAGAGACACATCAATTGGTTGCCTCCCACATGTGCATCGACCAGGGCCAGGGATCATCCTGCAACTGAGCTACATGCCCTTGATTGGAATCAAACCCAGGATCTTTTAGTCCATAGGCTGATGCTCTATCCACTGAATCAAACCACCTAGGGCCTCATTATTTTTAAAGTCTATGCTCCCATGAACATTTCTTTCTTTTTTTAAAATTATTTTTTATTTTTCACTTATAGTTGATGTAAAATATTAATTTCAGGTGTACAACCCAGGGATTAGATATTATATAACTTACAAAGTGGTCACTCCAATAAATCGGACATCCATCTGACACCATACACAGTTATTACAATATTACTGACTATATTCCCTATGCTGTACTTTAATCCCCATGATATTCCATAACTCCCAATTTGTACTTCTTAATCTTTCCACCTTTTTTCACTCATCCCACCATGCCCCTTTCCATCAGGCAACTATCAAAAGGTACTTGGTATATGTATCGATAAGTCTGTTTCCGTTTTACCTGTTAGTTTATTTTGTCTTTTTAGATTCCACAAATAAGTGAAATCATCTGGCATTTGTCTTTCTTTGACTGACCCACTTCACTCAGCACAATACCTTCTAGATCCATCTATGTTGTTGCAGATGGCAAGATGTCATTTTCTAATGTCTGAATGACATTCCATCGTTTATATATTCCATTTCTTTATCCATTCATCTATTGATGGGCACCTAGGTTGCTTCCATATCTTGACTATCCTATATAATAAAAGGCTAATATGCAAATAGACTGAAGAGAGGAACTACCAGTCACTGTGATGCACACTGACCACCAGGGGACAGATGCTCAATGCAAGAGCTGTCCCCTAGTGGTCAGTGCACTTCCACAGAGGGAGCACCACTCAGCCAAAAGCCTTGAGCAGGGCTCATGGCTGGCGAGCGCAGCGGTGGTGGTGGGAGCCTCTCCCACCTCCATGACAGTCAGACATCCCCAGAGGGCTCCCGGACTGCAAGAGGGTGCAGGCCAGGCTGAGGGACACCCCCTTCCCCAGAGTGCATAGATTTTGTGCACCGGGCCTCTAGTCTTACTAATAAAAGACTAGGTGGTTCTTATGCCCTCACACTGTCACAAGATGGCTGCACACACAGCAGGTGGGCAGGGCTGGGCTTGATGCTGTGAGCGCAAAGGTGCTGGAGGGAAGTTGACCAGGAGGTGCATCAGGGGAGTCCTGTGGGCCTTCAGCCATGGGGGGACTCTGGGACTCTGGGACGAGGGGGAGTCCTGTAGCCCCATGGGGGCTAAACATCAGGGCAAAGGGCACCACCCCCACTCCACCTCCACCTGGGAGAAATAAGATTCAGCTCGTGTCGGGATAAACCTGGGGTAGCAGGAGCTGCCCACACTTACATCCACCACCCAGCCTTGACCTGGGGAACAGACATGACAGAAAACCTCCCTGGTCACTGCCTGGTCCCCTACCCTGAGCTTCTCCCCACCCAAGAGCAGTGATTTCATTTCCTGACAAGAGCACTGACCTCACTTCCTGACGACGGAGCCCAACAGATTGTGGAACCCTGGTAGCCAGGCAGCTACATTCTAAAACAGCCCCTACCCAGCTCATCTGCTAGAGACATTCCCACCAAGGCATGTTCGCTGTTTGCCGCAGTCCTGCCGCTGTGATAGGCAAAAAGCCAGCCATGACAGCTTCTTCCGCCACTGCCACTGCTGACTCGGCAATCAGCCCTGCCGCCTCTGGACCTTTTCCCAGAGGAACTCAGAGGTAATCCAAGGAGGCCCAGGGCAGTTTTCTTAGAGCCAGGCCACCACTCTCATCCCCCTCACTAGCCTCATGTCCCCTGGAGCACTGGCCCTGCAGGGCTGCAGGGCTGCGGGACTCTGGGACTTGGGGGGGGGGGGGGGGGTCCTGCAGCCCTCGGGGCACCGGCTTTAATGCTGCGTACCCGTGGGTGCCATCACAGACTCTGACAGGAGGAAGGAGGGAGCTGGATACCTGCCCCAGGACTTGGCAAATAGTGATATTAAAATATTTCTTCTAATTAATTCCCCTTCAATGTGCATGAATTGGTGCACTGGGCCATTAGTTATACATAATGCTGCAATTAACATGTAAATGTATGCATACATCTTTAAAAACTTTGGGTTTTGGATTTCTTCATATAAATAGCCAGAAGTGGAATTGTTAGGTGCTTCTTTGTCTCTTGTTATAACCTTTGTTTTAAAGTCTATTTTATCTGGCATAAATATTGTTCTCCCTGTTTTTGCTTATATTTCCATTTTCATGAAATATCTTTACTTCCAGTCTGTGTGTCTTTCAATCTGAAGGGTCTCGTTTTCTTACCCATTCAGCCACCATATTTGTTTTGATTGGAGTACTTAATCCATTTTACTTTTCCCTTATAATTGATATACAACATTATATTATTAGTTTCAGATGTATAACCCAGTGATTAGATATTTATATAATGTAATTATTGATTACTTGACTTGAGGTGGTAAGTACCCAACACAACATATAGATAATGTATTGTTGAATTATATACCTCAAACCTATATAATTTTATTAACCAATGTCACCCCAATAAACTCAATAAAAAATTAATTGTTGATAGATATGTACTTACTGTTTTCTTATTATTCATATTTTTCATTTTCTTCTTAAGGAGGATGCTTTAACATTTCTTATAATGCTATTTGATAGTGATAAACTCCCTTAGGTTTTTCTGTCTAAGAAGTTCTTTATTTGTTCTTTTATTCTAAATAATAGCTTTGTGGGGAAAAGTAATCTTGTTGTAGATCACTTTGAATATTTCATGCCAATCCTTCTGGCCTAAAATGCTTCTGTAGAGAAATCACCTGACAGCCTTATGGGATCTATAGGTAACTAACTACTTTTCTCTTGCTGCTTTTAAGATTCTATCTTAACAGTTGGCATTTTAATTATGTTGTGGTTTGGGGTAGGCCTCTTAAGTTCGTTTTGGGACTCTGTGCTTCCTGGACTTGTATGTCTACTTCCTTCATTAGGTTATCCCCATTTTACATACAAGGAAATCTAAGCACATACATGCACATTCACAAGTGCACACACTCATACATCACTAGTGAGACTAGAAAAAAGTCCACCAGTTCCTCAAATAGCTAAACACAGAGTTACTATATGATCCAGAAATTTCACTCCTAGGTAAATACCCATCAGAAATGAAAACATGCTCTACCCCCAAAATTGTACACAAATGGTCATAGCAGTATTACTATTCATAATAGCCAAAAATCAGAAACAACCTAAACAGTTATCAATAGGGAAGTGAATAAATAAAAGATGGTATATACTCCATACAACAGAATATGATTTGACCATAAAAAGAAATGAAGTAGTGATTCATGGTACCACATAGGTGAACCTTGAAACTATTACGCTAAGTGAATGAAGCTAATCACAAAAGACCACAGATGATAAGATTGCATTCATATGAAATGTCCAGAATAGGCAAATCTATAGAAAGTAGGTTAGTGGTTGGGTGGGCCAAAGAATATGGAGAAAGTGGAAGGTGACTTCTAAATGGTATGAAGTTTCTTATGAAGTGATGAAAATTTTTGGGAATTAGATGGTGGTGATGGCTGCACAACTTTGGGAATATACTTAAAACCACTTAATTTTACATGTTAAATTGTTATATTATTAAATTATATTAATTATTATACGTGTATTAAAGTTATTAAGTTGGTAAAATAATTTAAAATGTTCAGCAAAGGAGACAGGTAAATACTGAAACAGAATACTTCTTATTGATTGCTTTGAAATGATAGCAGAATTCTCTGAAACATCTTATTTCATAGACAAATAATATCAATCCCAAATTATTTGTGCAAGAAATTTTGATACAAAGGTAAGCCAGAAATCAACTCTTTTCAGAATGGGAGGAATGAAAGTACATGTAAGAACAGGATGCTCAGCTAGCACTCACCTCTTCCACAAAAGACCAGTACTTGCAGTTACTGCAGATGCTCCCAGAAAAGCCACTACCATTAGCCGCCGCCTGACCTGGGTGGGCTGTGACCCTCCATGGTACCATCGAGAGCCCAGGGCCAGCTCTGCCAATGCAGAAAGTGACTTAAGACGAAACATCCTGTGAACAAAAAATAGAAATGTTACTCCTAACTAGTGGTAGTGATGGTGACGTTGATTACATTAATTCCACAAACAAATATACTAGTAAGCACTTAGTGGTAGACACCGTTCTAAACACTTTGCAATACCATGCATTATCTCATTTAATCCTCAGCATAAATGTATAGAAAAGTACAACTTATAAACCTGATATATCAGTCAAGGTACAATTAGAAGACAAGAAACCACATAATAATTGGAACAGAAAATTTAATATAAAGCATTATTAATTACAATAGGAGACTAGGTAGTAAAAGGAAAAAAGACAGCAGGTAAAGAAGGCAGCCCTACTTCAAGGGTCAATGCAGACCAACAAGAAAATCTATATAAATATAAAAGCCTAAGCAACCATTCGACTGTTTGACCTTTCGACCAGTAACTATGACCAGCACTGACCAGCAGGGGGCAGATGCTCAATGCACAGGCATGGAACAAACTGATGAATTTCAGAGGGAAGTGGGGAGAGGGAGGGTGGGAAGAGATTAACCAAAGACCTTATATGCATACTACAGGACCAGTGCAAACAGATTTGTGCACAAGTAGGGTTCCTCGGCCTGGCCTGTGGGGACTAGGCCAAAATCGGCAATCCTACATCCCCCAAATTGTAAGGCCGAGGGACTCCACTGTGCACAAATCCATGCACTGGGCCTCTAATAAATATATAAAAAGGCTACTCCTAAAAGGGTGAATTTCCAAACCTGTGATGAGGACACAGCCACCGATGTCCGAGAAACTAAAGTGCCACATCAACAGAACTCACAGTAAAGCCATCTACTAGGGAAACTCGGGTCTGGGAAGGAGATGCCATAGTATGAAACTCATTTGGAAACTACATATAGGAGTGTTGCCACTAAAAGTTCCTAGGAGCGGAGTGCCACTGGGTGTCCCACATGCTGCTGGCCACTGCAGCATACAAGGAGCACACTAGAATCAGGAAATAGCACCCCTTCCTTCTCCAGTCTCCCTCTAGTTCCTCTACTGACAAAGCTTAACAAAAGCTGGAAAGGAAGAAATTTCCAATATCACAAATAAGATACTGAGAGATGAGTTTAGAGCTGAAAATCAACAGTTTGATAAGCAGCACATCCATTTTACAGAAATGAATTCTGAGATACAGTGACTTGCTGAAGACTAGTCACTATAGCTACAAGTGGTAGATCCAGAATCTGAACCAAGAGTGGATTGACCCCAGAGCTTGGATTTTAACTAGGACACTGCTGCCCCTACCTGTAATGTTAATAATACTTTTGTTAAAGTAATTTAAGTTTTAATTACAGGAAATCTTTTCTCATTCCTAGGGCCTTGGAAGCCCTCCTCCTCACTAAGTTCTTTTGCTTCATACTTATAACTTCACCTGTTCCTTTAACTTTTTATTTTAATTCAGAATATCCATATTAGGTCATACTATTCAATAAACATTCACTCTTCCATCTGGTAGGCAAATAATACTTCCCCCTTCTTTTCATCTGGGGTGTGTACCTTGCCAAATGCCTTGCTATGACCAATGAAATGTGACCCAGTTCCATGAAGTTCCTTTAAGAGCTATTTCTGTTAGCCTTCTTGTGCCCTTCACTCTACCTAAGAGATCATGCCCCAGGAAGACATTAACCCTTCAACCTGGGTTCCATAATGATCAGATCTCAGCAGAGAGATAGACACCATGAGGACGAGCTGAGCATAGCAACCTACCAAATGCTGGTGAGAAATAAATGTTATTGTAAGCCCTGAAAGTTTGGGGGTTGTCTGCTACCACAGCAAAAGCTGACTAATTCAGCATCTAAGAGAAGTACTGGGAAGTTCTAACATAACAAAATTAAGTTCATACTATTCATCCCCATGTGATACCTAAAAGGCCCCCAAATTTTTACATTTTAATTAGACAAGATTCACATTAAACATTTCTGAAATTGTACATTTCCATCCTCAATACATATAAATATATTGGGTATAGATGTTAAGAGAATTGAAAAACAAATTATGACCAGCCTAAGACTGGGTCAGTCAGCAAAGGCTTTGGTTTAGTATTGAGCCTCAGAATGGTGTAGAATTTTGATCAGTGATAGAAATGTCAGGGGCATACTAAAAGACTTAGGATCATCTCTGGTATCTCAGAGAATTAACAGAAGGATATTGAGGCCAGAGTAAAGTTCCTAATTCTCTTATTCCACCAGGCAGACTGAAGGAGAAAGAGGCATTTTTTTCTGGTTACATGACTTTCAAATAAAAGTATCCATGCTCCTCCTATTTGATTTTCTCAAAGCATAATTCACTGCTTCCTAATTTAAATTATTTTGTATTTAGTAGGGATCTTATGATAATTAACGTATTTATTTACATATAAGTTTTTCTCCCCTACTTGGCTCTGAGCTTTCTTTAAGGTTAAAAGTATGTTTTTTTTTTCTTCTTTTTAAACGCATAGTCTAGCACACGGCCTGTTACTTTCCATTATACATGTCATTTCCTCAATTGTTCTAATCTCATTCCCCAAAGTACACATTAAAAGCTATTTCTATTCACCTACTTTAGTGTAATTTTTATAGATTCCAAGTAAACAGAGAGAAAAACCCCACTGAGAACAGGTTCTATTATAATTTAATCCCTAGCTTTGTAGTGAAGAAATAGTATAAATAGTTGAATGTGTTAATTTTTTATGAGAAACCACTTAAACAGATTTATGATCAGCTTTCCAACTGAATCTAGAAAATTGAATGGATGAATTGGCAGCAGTTATGCAATAATGAAGATTAACATGCAAATTTATGACGTAGATGAAATTAAATCAAAAGCAGTGTATTTTTCTTCCCTAACAGTACACACACACACACACACACACACACACACACCTTTAAAAAATAGCTTTTATGTGAGCTGAAAATGATGAAGAGGTATTTCTAACCAACAAATGTCAAGGAGGCAAGTGAAAGATAGTTTTGTTACTAAAGCAGAGCATTATCTATAATAGGTTTTTAAAAACCTGCAATAGTATATTACTGCCCCGTTTCTGTACCTATTATTTTAGGACTATTAAACTTGATGTATTGCTTTTGGTAAACTTCAAAGGGTCACAGAAATAGGAAATCATTAATTCAACATCCTTATTTTATAGATGAAGGAACTGAGATCCAGATAAGTTATGTGGTTTACTCAAAGCTAATTAATTCAAAAAATGTGCAATTGATTTTAGAATTCCTGATTTCCAAAGAAATACCTTAAAGGGGAAAATTTTTAATAACCTTCTCAGCAAAATAAATGTAATAGGCACACTCCAAAAGGAGATGATGCCCAATTACAGAAAGATAAAGAATGGGATAATAATATAATCCAATATGAGATAAATATTAAAAATTATCATCTTAAAATATTATTAAAATATTTCACAAACAGAAAGTTGGCACAAAAATATAAAAAAGTTGAAAAAAATAAGGATGGCTCTAAAAACTATGAAAAGATACTTAATCTCACTCATAATAAAATAATACAAATTAAAACTATACTGAGATACTGCTTTCCATTCAGCGAGGTGGCAAAAATCCTAAAGTGTGAAAACACACTTGTTGGCAATGCTGTAGAAATGCCACCACTGAGGAATGTGTAAATTGGTACACTCTATGGGGGATAAGTTGGCAACATCCACCTAAATCACCCATACAAACTGCATACATTGACCCAGCATTTCCACTTCTGATAAAATAGCTTGCTGATATACTTGCACACCTATGAAATTATACATGCGCCACAGTTATTCATTGCATCATGGTTTGTAACAGCAAAAAACTAAGAAAAAACCTAATTCCAATGTTCATCAAGAGAAAACTGGTTAAAAGATAAATATATACAAGGCAATACCAATATAGCAATAGCATGTATAGATTTGAAAATAATTTCAAGAGATACTATTATCTAAATGTTGCAAGATGTGGAATAGCATATATAGTGTGCTACCCTATGAAAAAGGAGAAATAAGAATGTATATTTGTATGTCTCATTAAGTAACTGAGCTCTATCTAGCTGACTAAGAAGAATTTTGTTTTGTTTTTTATCCAATGTTTTGCTTTTTAATGACTTGAATAGAGTATTCATTCATCATATTACTGAAAAGAATGATTTAATCTAAAAAGCAACAAAGTTCTCAAAAATATCCCAGAAGTGTTTCATCTTCATACACTACTGGAAAATAAGGTTACATGTCATTCTGCCATCATATTTACCCTTCTGAAAACAGAAAACAAAAACAAAAACAATAGTTTCCAGAACACAGGAGAATAGAAAAAAATGAGCACCTGATATAATTGTATTTAAGATATACGGACTTCTGTAGCTTAAGTAGCTATAGATTAGCTGGCCAAGATATTCCTTGTGCAGACTATAAGAATTATAATAATTAACACATTGGCTTAATTCATATTCATAGTTTATAAACCCGATAGAGCTCACTAAACTGGGCTTAGGTACTAATATCTGCCTGAAATGTAAGTACTGAATCTATTAATAATACAATATACAAAGCCTAACACAATACTTTGGGCATTAAACACATTCAAATGTTTATTGATTTAAATAGTATATCTTAAGTTGAATAATGCTGAATAAATATAAATAAATGACTATATGATAGGTTATTACACTAGAAATAAATACAGTAAAGCTTCTCTCTTGGTTTTAATCATTGTTTTTAAGTGTCTTAGTATGATAATACTGTAGCATTCCTCAGATTGACCCTTCCTAAGGCTCAAATGAAATTCCAACTCATCTTTATGAGTTAGATAAAGTCATCATCACTCTTTATTTTTTCCTCTCAGAATTCTTATAGAATTAGCATTCTAAGCCACTACTATGGTACTTTTTTATTAAATAATTTTAATGTATACCTGTCAACTTGCCAAAGAGATCACAAATGAAAAAATAAGAAGTATGCTTTAGGCTTCTTAGTTTCTTCAGTAGCAATTAATGAATTTGAAATTATTACTAATAGCAATAACAAATATTACTATTCAATTACACTAGAGGAGATACAAAAAAACTTTGGTTCTCTTTCTACAATAGCTCCACTACGAGCCAACTATGTAACCAGTAAAAGCCTTACCTAAGACTCTTCTGGCAGATACAAAGCACAAGTGGCACTTATGTCTAAGTCCTTTCTAGTGTTAAGAGTTCATTTCAGAAAAACAAAATGTAAAAGTATTTTGCATTTTTTGTTAGAAGAAAGTCATCTTGAATGCTTATAATGAGATAGCATGCTACATTGGCCTCACTAGTTTAAGCACATTGCACATAATCCAAAATGTACAACTGCCATTATTTCATTCAAGTCATTAATTAGCTATTTATTGAGCTAGGTATTATAAGGACACTGCAAGAGGCACAAATATGAGCGAGACACAGACCTACAAACACCTTATAATTTGATTATGAACACAAAACAACTATTCAAATAAAAATAAGGCAAGGTGGGGGAAAGATAAGAACTACAAGAACATATTAACAGGAATTCAAAGAAAGGAACTATTATATTAGGTTAGAAAGTTGGAAAGGGCTCAAGAAAAACACCAAGGAAGAAGATTTACTTAGGATAGGAAAAACCTAAGCATTCTTCACAAACAAGTTTGGCTGAATACATTATCTTAGAAGAATTTGACATTTTTTTGCTTTGTTATTTTTTTCTGAGGAATAAAGCTACTGGAAATATCTTAAACTTTAATTATGCCAAATAATTTTTAAAACATCTTATACATTTCTTTTAGATGAAATTTATTGGATTGAAAGTTCTGCATTGAAGACACCAGGATGACTGCCAAAGTATAGCAAAGATTAATGTTCACATCTAGAAAAGATGCATTTTCATACTTCAAAGTGACATTACTGATGGAACAAATGAAGAAAACTCACACTTTAGCTAACTCTGTTCAGAACTTTTTAAAAATAATCTGGGTGAGAATGTAAAGTAAATTTAAGTCATGTAAGTCTTTAACAGTAAAAAACTTACTGTAGGAACAAGAATTACTGTAGGAACAAGAATTACTGTAGGAACAAGAATCGTTTCATAGAAATGTTGGGCTTGACACAGAACTTTTGTACATATTTGTGCTAAAAGAACAGGCTATGGAAAATGTCAATATCCTATAAGACTCAACTTTCTGATACGTCCATAATTCAACTTCTCAAAACACACACACACACACACACACACACACACACACACACACACCCCATAGAGCCTTTTTACTGCAATAATAAAACCTGAAACTTATGGCTGGTGAAGGGAGAAATGAAGAGTGGCAATTTCCTTTCCCGAATACTGCACTGAAAAACAAAGTGAAGAGAAGGAGGGGAAAGGGAAAATCAACCATAGAAACAGTCTATTTAAAACAAAACAAAAAACAAAAAGCAAACAAACTACCCAGGAAACTACAAAAACAATGATGACTAATATAAATTTTCTAAAACCTCTAGGATGAGTTAATGCATTGAGATCAGCAATTTCATTCTGGGGATTTATCCAAAAGAAACAAAATCACTATCTCAAGAAGATATTGGCACCTGCATTTTCACTGCAGCATTATTTACAACTAGAGTCCCGATGCGCAAAAATTCGTGCGAGAGCAGGCCTTCCTTCCCCTGGCTGCTGTCCGGCTTCTCTTGGGCACCTGGGACCCCAGCTCCTCTCCTCTGGCTGCCAGCAGGCACCTGGGACTGGGCTGGCTTCCCTCAGGCAGCCTGCAGGCACTCAGGACCCTGGCTAACTTCATCAGGAAGGATGTCCTGAAGACATCAATCTAATTAGCATATTACCCTTTTATTATTATAGAAGATAATCAAGACATGTCAATAACTACATATCTATCAATAGATGAATGGATTAGAAAATGTGATATATTTTTATTGGTAGATACAATGGAATGCTATTTGGCCATAAAAAAGAAGGGGATTTTGTCATTTGCAACAACATGGATGGGCCTTGAGGTCTTTATGCTAATTGAATTAAGTCACACAGAGAGACAAATATCATAAAGTATTTCACTTCTAGTAAAAAAAAATAATAATAAAAAATAAAAAGAAAGCTCAAGAAAATAGATTGGTGCCGAAACCGGTTTGGCTCAGTGGTAGAGCGTCGGTTTGTGGACTGAAAGGTCCCAGGTTCGATTCCAGTCAGGGGCATGTACATTGGTTGCAGGCACATCCCCAGTTGGGGGTGTGCAGGAGGCAGCTGGTCGATGTTTCTCTCTCATCAACGTTTCTAGCTCTCTATCTCTCTCCCTTCCTCTCTGTAAAAAATCATTAAAATGAAAAACAAAAACAAAAACAAAAAACAGATTAGTAGTTGCCAGAGGTGGGAGATGAGGTGTGGGCAAATAGGTGAAGGTAACCAAAAGGTGCACATTTTCAGTCTTAAAATAAGCAAGTCCTGGGGATGTAATGTGCAACATCTACCTAGTAAAAGAGTAACATGCTAATTCACCGTACTTTCGTGACGCCCACCAGCCAATCAGGAGTGAGTATGCAAATTAACCCAACAAAGATGGCAGGTTAATTTGTTTATGTGGCCGCTCCTGGCCTCTGACCAGTGTAGGAAGGCAGAAATGCAGCTCCGGCCAGAGCAAAGGCAGCCAGGGAAAGGAAGGCCCATCCTGGCACGAATCTTCATGCATTGGGCTTCTAGTAGTTAATAATACTATATTGTATATTTGAAAGTTGCTAAGAGAGTCAACCTTTTTTTTTTTTTAATCCTCACGTGAGGATATTTTTTCATTGATTTTTAGAGAGAGTGGAAGGGAGGAGAGAGACACACAGAGAGAAATATTGATGTGAGAGATTCACATCGTTTGGTTGCCTCCTGCATGCACCCCCGAGAGCTGGTATTGAACCTGCAACTCAGGTACATGTCCTTAACCAGAATCAAACTCAGAATCCTTCAGTCCACTGGCCAATGCCCTATCCACTGAGCAAATCCAGCAAGGGCAAGAGAGTCAATCCAAAAAGTTCTTATCACAAGAAAAAAGTTAGTAACTATGATGAATGTTAACTAGATTTACTGTGAATATTTGCAATATATACAGATATCAAATCATTATGCTGTGCACTTAAAATGAATATAATGTTATGTCAACTATATCTCAATTTTTAAAATAATTTACCTTAAAAATGATAATGAATACAATATCAGGATCCAGTTGATACATGTAAAACAATAGTCTGAAAAAATACAAAGAACAATATTTTTGTCAGTTAGAACTGAAAGAAAAGAAATGAATTAATTTCAAAGCTAAAAAAAACATATAAAGAACAATAATAAAGGCAAAAGATGAATAAAAAATAAAAATAAAAGCCCACATAAGAGAGGTAAATAGGAGAAAAGCAATAATTCTGGTTAATAAATTGCTGTGTTTAAAAAACAATAAAACAATTAGCTAGCTTGGGGAGATACAAATATACAAATAGGGAAATAACCTTTGAAACAAAAGAAATTTTAAATATCACAACACTATTTTGTAGATCTCTCTGTTGCACATAAATTTGAAAACCTTTGTAAAGTAGAAATTACCTAGGGAAAACAAAGATGAACAAAATTGACATAATTAGGATAATAAAGCTTAAACAGGCAAATTTACATAGGGAACGTCATTACTGAACTACCCTATTTAAAAAAGCACACCCGCAAGCCAGTTGGGCTCAGCGGTTAGGGCATGGGCTCTCAGAGTGAAGTGTTACAGGTTAGGTTCCAGTTAAGGGCGCCTTTACCTCAGTTGATTAAAAAAACAAAACAAACAAACAAAAAAACACACCAAAAGAGAATAGAAATTGGCACTCTTTTAATAATAAAATATATATGCTTCAGTCCTAAAGCTAGCATCTTCTCTAATGGGAAAATACCAGAGGTATTTTTGCTAAGAATAGGAACAATGTAAGAATATCCATACTATACAATACAGTACAGTAGAAATTGGTTAGGGCAATTAGATAAGAAAATGCAACTACACAAAAAAACTGATAGAGAAGTAAAATTATTAGTACTTGAAAATGATATGATAGAATACCTGGAAAGAGCATAATTTCCCAAATCAAGGCTCTATTAACATTTGGGGGACATAATTCTTGGTTTGGGGAGGCTGTTCCAAGCATTGTAAGATGTTTTAACAGCATCTCTGGTTTTTACGCTCTAGATGCCAGTAGCACATTCCTCACTCAGTTATGACAACCTAAAGTTTAGGTCCTAACCTGTTTTCAGACATTAACAAATTTCCACAGAGGATACAATGAGGTGGGTTGAGAGCCAATGCCTTAAATAATCTATAAGAAGAAAAGCATAATATGCTAATCAGAGCAGACAGCCTTCTGGACAAAGCTGAGCTTGCAAGGGAAAGGAAGGCCTACTCTCGCATGAAGTTCATGCATCTGGCCTCTAATTAATGATAAAACTAATTCAAACACTTATAGTTGCTGTTGTTGCCTTTGCTTTTAGAGTCAGATTAAAAAAATTATTACCAAGAAATATGTAAAATAGCTTACTCCCTATGTTTTTCTTTTAGGAGTTTCAGTTGCCTGACCTGGAGGCTAGGATGAAACCTGCAACTCAGGTATGCACCCTTGACCTGGAATGGAACCCACAACCTTTCAGTGTGTGGATATCAATCCAACCACTGAGCAACACCTACCAGGGCTTCAATCCATTTGTAAGTTATTTTTGTGTATAGTGTAAGATAGTGGCCCAATTTCATTCTTTTGCATATGGCTATCCAGTTTTCCCAAGACAATTTACTAAAGAGTCTGTTCTTTCCTCCTTTGTGTATTCTTGGCTCCTTAGTCATAAATTAATTGACTCATATATGGATGGGTTGATTTCTGGGCTCCCTATTCTGTTCCATTGATCTATGTCTGGTTTTTAAAAAATATTTTTTATTGACTTTGTACAGAGAAGAAGGGAGAGGGAGAGTTAGAAACATCGATGAGAAACATTGATTAACTGCCTCCTGCACACTCCCTACTGGATATGTGCCCATACCAGGGTACATGCACTTGACAGGAATCAAACCTGGGACCCTTGAGTCCACAGGCCAACACTCTATCCACTGAACCAAACCAGTTAGGGCAATCTATGTCTGTTTTTATATAAAACCACACTGTTTGAGTACTAGAGCTTTGTAATCCTATCTAATAAAAGAGTAGCATGCAGATTGACCATCACTCCAACACAGAAGATCAAGATAGCTGCCCCCATGTGGACACAAGATGGCTGCCACAAGATGGCCAGCAGGGGAGGGCAATTGGGAGACACCAGGCCTGCAAGGGAAGGCAGTTGGGGGTGATCAACACTGCAGGGGGAGGGCAGTTAGGGGTGACCAGGCTGGCTGAGGAGGGAAGTTGGGGGCAAAAAGGCTGGCAGGGGAGCAGTTAGACATCAACCAGGCTGGCAGTGGAGTGGTTAGGGGGTGATCAGGCTGGCAGGCAGAACTGTTGAGGGGCAATCAGGAAGGCAGGCAGGCTAGCAGTTGGGAGCCAGCAGTCCTGGATTGTGAGAGAGATGTCTGACTGGGATTGGGCCTAAACGGGCAGTCGGACATCTCTTGAGGGGTCCCAGATTAGAGAGTGTGCAGGCTGGGCTGAGGGACACCACCACCTGTTCTCTCCCACCCACATGCATGAATTTCATGCACCAGGCCTCTAGTATAGTAGTATAAAATCAGAAAGCATGATGCCTCCAGATTTTTTCTTTCTCAGGATTGCTTTGTCTTTGTCTCTCAAGGTCTTTTATGGTTCTACTAGAGGCCCACTGCATGAAAATTCATGCACTGAAGGGAGGTCCCTCAGCCTGCCCTGCCCTTCTCACAGTCTGGGAGCAGATGCTCTATCCATTGAGCTAAACTAGTTAGGGCTAGTCTCTTATTCTATAAAGTAAAACTTTGTTTTTAGCTTGAATGATAGAAAAGATAAACTTAACTGTCTGACCTTGCAAGCTAGCCATCTAAAGGGGCTGATACATTATATTAATTCCCATATTCTGCCATGTGCTTGTTCATCCAATGTTACAGGTGTTTCATTAGATATAGTATGTACTCAAAGTTACAAGTTGTCTGTATAGATATTACAGGTGTTTGATTAGATACAAGCTGTCTTATACAAAGAACTAGAAGGATATAAAAAAGGAAATACTCCCTCCTGTGTTAGTTCAGAATTTGACAGGGGTAATCTGCTCTGAACCTGTGTGCAATAAAGATGACTCCTAACTAATTGGCTCATTAGGCCTCTTGTCTAGCTCTCCAACTTGCAATACAACAATCTCCCATAAACCTTCATTAAAACCTTTTACTTATCTAGTTTTCCATACTTTTCCATATTTGCAGAATAAGGGAATATATCCTTTGGTCCTAAAAAAGCAATCTCATGAGTTCCAAAAAAAGAAAATGGACAGTTTGTCTGTGGGAAGTCTGTAGCTCCAACAGGAACTTACGCTTGAGCTGACCAAATGAAGATAACCTTTCATCTTGAAGATAAGGTCTCCAGGTTTGAAATTAAGAGTCATGTTTCTCAAGGGGTGATTCTAGGGGTTCAATGTCCCAAAGGTCAAAATCTGGGGTTGCCTCTAGGCTCCCAGGCAAGCCGCTAGCCAGCTCTTTTATTACAGAGGCTTTTTCTTTTAATGTTATTAAAAGTTTGAAAAATGAAAAGGAAATAACCTATAATTTTACCAGTCTCATATATATTACACCTGTGATGTATTTTTCAAGTTATTTCTGGTAAAGTGTTCTAAAGATTTGTTATACAATGTGAATAATTTAATACTACTGAATTTAAGATGATAAATTTAATCTTCTGTGTTTTCCACCATAATAAAAAAAACAAAGATAGAATATACAACACACAGCGTGAACTCTAATGTAAACTATGTACTTTACTTAACAATGTACCAATATTGGCTCATCAGTTGTAACAAATGTGTCCCACTAAAGCAAGATGTTAAAAAGGGGAAATTGTGGGAAAGAGTGAAGGGGTATATAGAACTCTGAGTTTTTCACTCAATTTTTTTTTCTTTGAACCTAAAACTCCTTAAAAAAGAGTTGAATTTAAAACAGTATTTCCTACTATAAAGCATATTCCATTTGTAAATATCATTTGCCTACATTCAATCACAATGACTACACGTTTCATATTCCTTGAGGAACTACTCAATTACATATATGACTGCTCACAATATTTCTCCAAACAGTATAAAACAGATAAAGATCCCTGCTGTCTTTCTTGCACTCTTCCACTGGTTACAACTTGCTCTTCCCCTATGTAGCAACTGTGGGGAGTTAAGGACAAAACAGTTACTGAACTCTTACAGCTTTTCTCAACAGGTGTTCCATGAGAGAACAAAGATATCTACCGGGCAATGAACCAACTGTTCTCCTACATATCTAGAATGGCAGTAGTTTTGTGCCAAATAGGAGGAAAATTGAGAAAGTAATCACTGGAAAAAAAAAATAAATATATATATATATATATATATATATATATATATATATATATATATATATATATATAATTCTGTGGTTCAGATGAGGAACCCTGGTTGAGAAAGATGTTAGAGATATGGAAAACTAACCAGAACTAACTTATAACATTAAGAGTAGCTAATACTCAGTAATCTCATTCCTATTTTGTATAGATAAGAGAAGCTAACAAAACAAAAACATATATGTAACATTGGGTAAGACCTGTAAAGAAACTACTTTAACTTAATCTTTCAAAATATATTCTTAAGCTGCCTCTGCTAAACTCTACAGATCAATCAAATACATCATAACCATTAATAGTTTCCTAATAAGTATATAATCCTCACATAAGAAAATGAGTATACTCGAATCCTGAGGGAAATATAAGAAAGACCAGAATTATTCTGACCAGGATTGAAAACAGGAAGCTCTTAAAAAATAAAATCTATAATAATAAAAGGGCAATATGCTAATTAGACCAGAAATCTTCCGGACGTCCATCCTTCCTGATGAAGCTAGGGCCAGGGCCAGAGGGTGGGATGGGGGAAGTTGGGGAAGTTGGGGGGCGGGGGAGCGAAGCCAGCCTGGATTCCGGGTGCCTGCAGGTGGCTGGAGAGAAGCCAGCCTGGATTCCGGGTGCCTGCAGGCGGCTGGAGAGAAGCCAGCCTGGATTCCGGGTGCCTGCAGGCGGCTGGAGAGAAGCCAGCCTGGATTCCGGGT